CATCACTGCCCATTCCTCTGGGGGGCTCCTTCCTACTGTCCATGCCCCTTGATCCTGCTACTTCCAGTAATAGCCTGCTTCTCTCCCCCGATTCTCACACTGAAGGTCAAGTTTCAAAATCTATACCTCACACAAAACCTTTCCATATGAAACCAAGCTCAGTGATCTTTTCTGTTCTTTGCAATCTTATATCCATCTGGTCTTCTTACTCTATAATCCAGTGTTCAGTTATATATTGTTTTCTATACTTTTCTAGTTGTTTTATGAATTTTTTGAGTATGTTTGTAGTTTTATTCTTCTGTAAAAAACAAGGTGCTGAATAGTTTCTTTTCTTTTCTTTTCTTTTCTTTCTTTTTTTTTTTTTTTTTTTTTGACAGGCAGAGTGGATAGTGAGAGAGAGAGACAGAGAGAAAGATCTTCATTTTGCCGTTGGTTCACCCTCCAATGGCCGCCACGGCTGGCGCGCTGCAGCTGGCGCACCACGCTGATCCGATGGCAGGAGCCAGGTACTTATCCTGGTCTCCCATGGGGTGCAGGGCCCAAGCACTTGGGCCATCCTCCACTGCACTCCCTGGCCACAGCAGAGAGCTGGCCTGGAAGAGGGGCAACCGGGACATAATCCGGCGCCCCGACCGGGACTAGAACCTGGTGTGAATAGTTTCTTAATTCATACTCACCAGCTCACAGGCACCCAACTACAAGGTAATTGCTCTTACTGCCTCCCTGCTGTGCAGGTGACTCAACTGCGTATGATCTGGAATTTGTTGCAGGAACAGCCACAGAATTAAAAAATATTCTGACTTAATTTAGGATCCATGTGGGGTCTTCAACAAGCCCACAGAAAGTGCATACTATGAAAAAAAAAAACTATACATGGATTTAGAAGTGTTTGCTGCAGCAAAATAAACTTATCTTTTAATTCCCTTTTTGCATGAATTTTGTGAATCCCCTCTGTATTTCTAAAGGAAGATTCATGGTCCCAAGAGCTTCAAATGAGAAGAGTGAGATAAAGGAAACTAAAGAGATGGCATGACGTCATTCGAAGGGGCTGACACTCCAACTCTCCCCACCTGGTGTCCTGGCCGTCCTTCTCTGCTGCTCTGTCTCGCGAGCCCAGTCACTGTTCCTGCCTACAGCTGCTGTTGTGCCCTTGGAACAGTTCCAGCTTGTCCTAAAGGCACTGTGACATTTTAGTGGTGGGTGAGGCTACTCCTCTGTAGAGAGCATCTGTTGGGAATGCAGTTTTCGGAAGAAAGACACTATTTAAAAAGAAGAACACTATTCCTTTGACAGCTCCACAGCACGGGGCATATGAGTTAGAAGCAAGACTTGCAGTCCAAGCTCATATCAATCCCTTGGACGTGCTCAAGAACAGCCTCCTGTTTAAAGTCAGCCACCATATTTTGCCATGAGATCAACTGATTGTACTTTTTCAACAGGACTATGCCGGCTGTAACAGAGTCAAGGAATGTTTTTTCTTGGAAGAGCAGAGAAGGAAGTAAAATGAGGAGTAGGTTTACTGGAGAAGTGATTCTTTTAAAATGACTCTTGGGATAACACACGCGAATGGAAAACTTCTAGTGTCAGAAGTCACAAGTGAGTATGCAGAGTGCCTTAGTAAGGAGACAAAGTTATGCAAAGTCCAGCCAACAACTGGGTGCATAGTCTGATCCATTTGGACAGATAGTAACATAATAGCAACAGGAAATAATGTAATGGCTTCTGCTCTCGTTAATTTAAGAGCCTAACAGGGTACACACATTCTACTACCTACTGAGAACCATTAGGCTTTACTGAACTAGAAACTACTCTGACCTAGGCAATGTTTCCAAGGAAGACATCTACCAGAGGAAGAGATTTCCAGGCTTGTCCATGAGTGTGGACCTGTGTCAGGAGTTGCCCAGGACCAGGCTGCTTTCCAGGAAGGAGGTCTGTAAGGCCACCTCTGGTTTCAAGTTCTCCTTACGAAGGCATCTAAACTTCTGAAATAGCATGATTTATTTTAGGTTATGTAATTTTCCTCCTCTTAAATCCAGGTACTTTGGTCTTGCCTGTATTCTCACTAAAATAGGGTCTTTTTATTTTTTACTGTTAAACTCTTTATTTGGGTGCAGTGTTAAACCCTTGACTATAATGCAAATTAAAAATATCTCAAAAACTAAAGAAAAAATGAAAGAGAGGGAGGGAGACAGGAAAGGAAAAACATAACATTCTTTGAATTCTATCTATGAATTCTATTGAATATGATAAGAACTAAAGACTAAATAAATAAAAAATTAACAAACAAACAAAAACAAGGTAGTCTGGGGTTGGCATTGTGGCACAGCGGGTACAGCCGCCACCTGGGACGTCTGTGTTCCATACTGGAACACTGGTTCAGGTCCTAGCTACTCCACTTCAGATCCCGTTCCCTGTTAACATGACTGGGAAAGCAGAAGAAGATGGCTGAAGTGCCTGGCCTCCTATCGCCCATGTGGGAGACCAGCATGGAGTTCCTGGCTCCTGGCTTCAGCCTGGCCTAGCCCTGGTTATTGTGGCCATTTGGGGAGTGAACTCTCAAATGGAATATCTCTTTCTCTATTTGTCTTTTCCTCTTTATTGTCACTCTGCCTTTCAAATAATAAAATAAATCTTTAAAAAACCAACCAAACCATAAAGCAAGGTACTTGGAGGGGTGTTTAGTCAGTATGACATCTCTTTTTCTGAATGGACTTTCCAAGTATGGCCAAAGAGAAATAAGGACAGAATTACGAGCTGTCCCAGAGAAACAACTTTTCCATATGATGGCTACTAAGTTAGGGAGCTTCTTATTTACATTTAAGAGCATAAATAATGTTTACTCCACCAGTTAAGTTCCCATTCTGCTCCAGAATTCAATATTCTGTATCACAATCACTTGTGAGAGCTTGCCAGAGGTGGCTGTGTGGATGGGAATGAAAAGTAACACTGGAGTCCAGGTGGAGAGACTCAGCCTTTGCCTGGATCCCAACACCACGCTCTTGGAGCCCAGGAACCATGCTCCATGGTCTCTTCCCACTGGAGTCTCTTTCACAAAGCACTGTGTACCGTGGGAAAGGATTTCACTCCCTCAAATCCTCTGAAAAAGGAAGTTTACTGTTCAAGAGGTAAATCCCAGAGATAATAAGTGTCACAGCCAGGCCACTGGATGGATTTTCATCAGGTGGGTCACCTCAGCAGTCCACTGGACGGGTTTTTGTTGGGTGGGTCACCTCAGCAGTCCACTGGACAGGTTTTTGTTGGGTGGGTCACCTCAGCAGTCCACTGGACAGGTTTTTGTTGGGTGGGTCACCTCAGCAGTCCACTGGACGGGTTTTTGTTGGGTGGGTCACCTCAGCAGGCCACTGGACAGGTTTTTGTTGGGTGGGTCACCTCAGCAGTCCATGGACAGGTTTTTGTTGGGTGGGTCACCTCAGCAGTCCACTGGACAGGTTTTTGTTGGGTGGGTCACCTTAGGCAGTCCACTGGACAGGTTTTTGTTGGGTGGGTCACCTCAGCAGTCCATGGACGGGTTTTTATTGGGTGGGTCACCTCAGCAGTCCACTGGACGGGTTTTTGTTGGGTGGGTCACCTCAGCAGTCCATGGACAGGTTTTTGTTGGGTGGGTCACCTCAGCAGTCCACTGGACAGGTTTTTGTTGGGTGGGTCACCTTAGGCAGTCCACTGGACAGGTTTTTGTTGGGTGGGTCACCTCAGCAGTCCACTGGATGGGTTTTTGTTGGGTGGGTCACCTGATGCTCAGCTCCAGAGCTGGAGGAGGAGCTTCCTTCCGGACCGACTCTTTAGGTGCTGGGGGAGGGGCAGGGGTGCATTCTTGACAGTTTCACCTCCCTTAACTACACTATAGATCCAAATGCTGTATGTTAAAATACAAGAAACCCAGCCTCCAGGAGGATAAATGAGGTGGAAGAGTCCAGCTCATACCCGCAGCCTGGGCTACCTCTACAGCAGTAGTCACTGCTTTGGTTTGATCAGAAAAACAAGCAGGAGCCTTTCTGGAGAAGAATCCATGAGAGCATAATATTCCTGATTGATGTTTGATGCTCTAAAGTGGCAAATACAATGTCATCTTCGGTTCCCTTTCTTGCTGCTGTCGGGTGACCCTATGTATTTCAGCTTGGCCACTGACCCATACTTTCTATTCCTCTGAATTTAAGGGGTTAAGCTAATAAAAATGAGTTTTATTTTTATGAATCTTTTTTTGTAATTAATAAGATACTTTTCTACATATTAGTAAGGATGAGAAGCCAGGTTTTGTTAAGTTCTAATTATTTTCAGGTTATAGTAACAAGTCTAATGAACCAATGGAAAAAAGGATATTTTAAAAATTTATCTGTTTTTCTTTAACACTGAAACCCAAGAAGGTGAAGACAAGAAAAGTAATTTCTTGCTCATAAACAGTATTATCTTTCTACCATAACCTAGTGCTATGGGTTGAACTGGGTGTCCCAAAACTCATACACTGGAGTGCTAATGCTTAGGGCCTCAGAATGTACCCGTATTAGGAAATACAGTGGTTGGAGACATCAGCTAAGACAAGGTCACAATGGAGCAAGGTGGATCCCATGTCAGTGTGACTGGTGTCCTTGTACCAGTGGCAGTTTGAATAGCCACGTACACAGGGAGAACACGTGATAATAAGGCAGAGGTCAGGAAGATGCGCCCACAAGCCAAGCAATGTCCAAATTGCCAGCTACCACCAGAAACTAGGAAAGAAGCACGAAACTGATTGTTCACTGCCAACAGATAGAATCCTGCCAGCATCTTGGTGCTGGGCCTCTCATTACCATGACTACGGGGTAATTTATTTCTGTTGTTAAGCTATCCTGTGTGGTACTCTGATACGCAGCCCTAGCAAACATACAGTATACCCATATAGTCAGAAATGGATCACTGTCACAACCTGCTTCCTGCTTATTTTTAAAAACAGATTGTTTGATGACGGCATGATCTCAAAGAGGAAAAATAACTTTGGTTCTTACTGTCGCTTCCTGGGGAACAGGATTTGGCTTCTTTATGTTGATCTCAACGCTGTTGTTGTCTTGCTTGAGCTCCACTGGTGACCCGTGCACTCTGGCCACACCTTCAAACATCTGGGACGTGGTTAAGGAGACAGCAGGTGTCACTGTGGGACACTCTCTTCCCTTCTCTTCCTCATCTCCGTGGGCTGTCTCTCCGTTCATGCTGACTTTCCCATCTACCTATAGAGATCACAATGAACACAAAACATGCTGTTTCTCAAAAAACCACACTAGAATTTCCTTATAGGATGATCATTTGGTAAACAGGCCAATGAAGACAAAGGGCTGTCAAATATTTTGCTCAGTTCCAAAATTCAGGGCTTTTACAAATGCCATCTTCAAGGCCCTCTTTAAATGAGAATTGGTCTTAGACTACTTCACTATAGATTATATTTCATATTTACCTTATTTAAGGTACACTTTTATTTTAAAGTACAGAAAGCCAAAAGAATCTTAAATACACACACATCACATATTTGAGTTCCAGTAATTTTTCATTTAAGATCAAACTGCTATTTCATACATTTTGACTTTTTTTCTGGTTAACATACAAATGTAGCTGGAACCTACCTCATATCAGGAATATTCTACAGTTTACCTTATGGTGGTGGAGGGGACAATGGGTACTTTTTTTTTTTTTTTTTTTTTTGACAGGCAGAGTTGGACAGTGAGAGAGAGAGACAGAGAAAGGTCTTCCTTCCGTTGGTTCACCCCACAAATGGCCACTACGGCCGGCACGCTGTGCTGATCCGAAGCCAGGAGCCAGGTGCTTCCTCCTGGTCTCCCATGGGGTGCAGGGCCCAAGGACCGGAGCCATCCTCCACTGCACTCCCGGGCCACAGCAGAGAGCTGGACTGGAAGAGCAGCAACTGAGACAGAACCGGCACCCCAACCGGGACTAGAACCCGGGGTGCCGGCACCACAGGCAGAGAATTAGTCTAGTGAGCTGTGGTGCTGGCCAATGGGTACTTTTTTATAGCTGTCATGGAGGGTCAGGGCACCTATGTTACAAAGTATCCCCATTTCCAGTTAATATTACAACCCCAATTCTTTTTTTCAAGGAAAAAAGATCACATGCAATAAAATATTTTTGTTGTATACTTACATCTAGGGAAAGTGTATAAAGAAGGAGCAGAGAGGGTAGTGAGCCCGGCTCGCTGAAAGGCACCTAGAACTCCCCGTGTTGGAGTCCAAGGCAGATGTAGAGTGTGCATGAGACTGCAGCTAGAACACCTGAGACCGAGTCCTGGCTCTGCCACCCAGCAGCCAGGTCATCTTCATCCTTTTCCCTCCAAAAACTTACTTTTCTATCTACTCATTCATTTATCTAGGCAGCAGACAGAAAAAGAGAAACAGGGAGACAGACAGAGATCTCTCATCTACTGGTTCATTCCCAAATGTGCAGGAAGCTGGATTTGGGAGTGCAATAGGGACTTGAATCCAGGAACATGGATATGGGACGTCCCAACCAGTGTCTTAGCTCTAAGGTCATATGTCTACCCTTCAACAAGTTTCTTATCCTCTGTGTTCAACTCAAAATATTTTTTATGGCCACATGGCGGGAGCTGCGCCAATCTGAAGCCAGGAGCCAGGTGCTTCTTCCTGGTCTCCTATGCGGGTGCAGAGGCCCAAACATTTGGGCCACCTTCTACTGCTTTCCCAAGCCACAGCAGAGAGCTGGATCAGAAGAGGAACAGCTGGGACTAGAACCGGCGCCCATATGGGATGCCAGTGCCGCAGGCGGAGGATTAACCTACTGAGCCACAGTGCCAGCCCCTAACTCAAAAATTTAAAGTAACATTTTCTCATTCATATAGAGATTAAGGGGCTTTTATAGACTCATATATGTACAAATTTTAGAACAAAACCTGACTCATTTTAAGTACTTAAATTTTAGCTATTGTAATTAAGCCTTCTAAATATTTTACGAAGGCAAATTTTCACAAAGAAGATGAACAACACCTGGGAAGCCAGATATTCATCAGAGTTTGTTTACCTTCACCTACTGGTGTCCATATGCTATTATCTGCTACTCAGAAAAAAACAATTTAAAGGCCAATCCTCTGCCTTGCAGCGCCGGCACACCGGGTTCTACTCCCGGTCGGGGCACCGGATTCTCTCCCGGTTGCCCCTCTTCCAGGCCAGCTCTCTGCTGTGGCCCGGGAGTGCAGTGGAGGATGGCCCAAGTGCTTGGGCCCTGCACCCCATGGGAGACCAGGAGAAGCACCTGGCTCCTGCCTTCAGATCAGCGTGGTGCGCCAGCCGCGGTGGCCATTGGAGGGTGAACCAACAGCAAAAGGAAGACCTTTCTCTCTGTCTCTCTCTCTCACTGTCCACTCTGCCTGTCAAAAAAAAAAAAAAAAAAAAAAAAATTAAATCACAACTCAGCATACACGTAAATATACCTGAAACAGAACTTTCCCCAAACAACATGTATCTCTTTTGTGTTTGATGCACTATGTTTTTTTAAAATAAAAATTATATTCTAAAGCACTTCATTAAAAATAAACCATGCTGATTCCAAAATACCAAATTGATTTTATAACCTGCAACAAGCGGCAATTCTTGGTTTGGAAAATGTTGCCTTAGATCTTGCCTTGCTCTTAATTCTGCTGCACCGAGGCAGCAACTGAGCCAGTGTCCTCTGCCACCTGACCCTCTGTAAGCACACACACACGAGGGCACTTCAGATGGTCTGCAGAAAAATCAAGTTAAGTTTATGTGGTGCAAAATTTTTTTTTGAAATCCATGCATGGATTATTCACAATACATGGGTTTCATAAAGTTTTTGAAGACTTTTGCATGCATGGCTGTCACAATTTCTTTGTACCAAAATAAACTTATCTTTTTTTTTTCAATTTTCCAATGATGGACTGATGGCCAGGGTGGGGTTGAGAGGGGCATCTGGGGTCTGAGGAGGATCCCACTGGGCAGTCCTGTGGTGTCTGAGCGGCTGGGAAGGGGCTGAATTCTAGATGGTGTGGCTTGGTACCCTTGGACGGGTCATGTGCCCACATGCTATATATGGGAGGGGTACTAGTGCTCACTCCAGGGCGGGTTCCTGCCAAGGGGATGCTACCAGTGGGGGCCTGGGTAGCGGCCACTGGAATTTTGAAGTATCCTTGAAATTTGTATGAAACTTTGTAGTATCCTTGTATACACACACACATACACCCCTTAGCTTCTGTCTTGGCATTACCTCTTAACAACTGTCATATTTACATACAACCTTTGGTCACAAGTGCCCTCCCATCCACTCAGTGGACTCTTGGCTAGAAATAGCATGGATATCCATCAAGGTTACTGATGAATAAAAGGAATATCCACTATCAAGAGTGAACTCTAGGAGCTGGTGCTGTGGTGCAGTGGGTTAAGCTGTCTCCTGTCATGCCAGCATCCCATATGGGCGCCGGTTCAAGTCCCAGATGCTCCAGTTCTGACCCGGCTCCCTCCTAATGTGTCTGTGAAAACAACAAAAAATGGCCTAAGCACTTGGGCCCCTGCCATCCATGTGTGAGACCCAGATGAAGCTCCTGGCTTCTGGCTTCAGCCTGGCCTAGCCCAGGCCTTTGCAACCATATGTGGAGTGAACCAGTGGATGGAAGTTCTTTCTTCTTCAGTCTCTCCCTCTGCCTCTGCAACTCTGCCTTTCAAGTAAATAATTTCTTTTTTAAAAGAGTGGACTCCAGCTGTCGGACCTCTCCTGAAGTTTCTCAACACATTCCCGCCCAGGTGCTCTCCTGAGGCCTCTAGAGCACCTGTTACACCTGCTACACTGACTGCTATGGTGGTCAAAGACAGCGCTTTCTGTTTTGCTATAAAGTCGTCTCATTTCTTCTGCTTAAATAATCACATTGTACTATGTACTCAAGGGAGGGGAAACGGACATTTAGCTGGTATCATCAGATGCTTGGTTAGCCTGTTAGATAAGTGTATTCTCCACCTCTGTTCTAGGCCCCCTCAACATGAAATTTTTTGCTTTGGACAGTCACAGATCATTTATCGTTATAGGCCTGGGTGAAGGAAAGCCCTGAAACACTTAGGCACACCACTGAGCACATACGGGTGTGTTTGTGTGTGTGTGTGTGTGTGAGTCTGCATGATCCATAGCTCATTTTCTCAGTGAAATCCATTTATTCATTCCATAAGCCCTTGCAGTGCCTACCATGGCCTGGGAACCTCTGCCAGGCTCTCAGGATGGAGCTGTAAACATGAAGGACACAGACCGTGCCCCAAAGGGACAAATGTCTCAATTCAAATCCAGATGAGACAGCCCGGACGTTTTTCTTGTGTTCCATCAAAGCCTAAGGCACAATGTTTAAGATATATTTAGAGTCATTTAAGCAAAAGCCAGAGCGTGCAGTGGGTTCCCTGTGAAATTCAATAGGGAGATGCCTGGCATCACGTTGCTCACTTAGTTCCGTTATGTAAACTTTTACAGTCACAACGGTCGCATCTCCCAGGGATGAATTCCACCTCTGTCTTCTATTACACACTCATGCGGTATGCAGGGACAATGAGGACCGCGTTTTCTTTGTAGTCAGAAGACTTAAGACAAAGGACGGGGGTTCCTCATGATAGAAGGGGAGATGCTGGTAGCTGAGGCAGGGAAACGATGTGCGGCTGTCATAGGCTCTTTTGTTCTGGAACATTGCTTTACACATTCCTTGGTAAAATAATCCTGTTTCTTTCTTCTTAAAAAACTACCCTGTCTCACCTGAGGACCAAGTATGTCCCATGTTCCCATGTATTCCTTGAAGTTTTTTTTTCAACTGTAGCATCTTTTTGGATAGGATGTCAATTTTTTCATAAAAGAGAGGTAGCTGAGGGGCCAGCGCTGTGGCGCAGTGGGTTAAAGCCCCGGCTTGCAGCGCCGGCATCCCCTATGGGCACTGGTTCTAGTCCCGGCTGCTCCACTTCCAGTCCAGCTCTCTGCTCTGCCCTGGGAAAGCAGCAGAAGGTGGCCCAAGTCCTGGGCCCTGCACCCGCGCGGGAGAGGCAGCAGAAGCGCCTGGCTCCTGGCTTCAGATCAGCTCAGCTCTGGCCAGTGCAGCCATCTGGGGAGCGAACCAGCAGATGGAAGAAGCTCTCTCTCTCTCTCTCTCTGGCTCCACCTCTCTCTGTTACAGATAAATAAATAAATAAATAAAATAAATCTTTAAAAAGAAAAAAAATAGCTGTCTATCTTCTATTTAAACCAAAAGCAATTAGAATTTTTCTTTGAGGAGTTCACCTTGTCTCCTCGTTGGAGACACTAGGTTATTACCAAATTACCACTTCTATATTGAGTCTGGGCCATTTGATCAAATGAGAAAACACCTGGCTTTTGGTTATGACCAGACTATCTGCCATGAGAGCCCATCAATATCAACAATAGTAACCTAGGATGGCATCTATCACCTAAGGACTTGCAAGCACAGCCTTCTGACACACAAATGAGCGGTTACAAATGTCAACACATTTTGCTTTTGGTTTGTAAAATAATCCCGCTTTTCTGGGTCAGGATACTCCTTTTCGAGTACCTGCGGTTCAGTTTTGAGATCTACTCTTAAGAAATGGGTCCTACCTTAAAGGTCTTGAGAACCTCTTGAGAGTTTTTGGGCTGGGAGTAAGGCTTGGGTGTCAGCATAGGCACTGCTTTGGGGGTCACAGTTTTGCTGGGGGACCCACTGCCTGCTGCCGTGCTGGCATCCGGGGCACTGGCACGCGCGATGGTGGTTTCCACAGTGGCAGTGAACTTGGGCGGAGGCAGTGACTGTTGCCGCAGGTATTTCATGGGGTTGGGGTCGCTCAGGAAGGAGGATAAGTTTGGCTCTGTTGAATGGCTTCTTTCCAGAATTTTTGGCATCTCCAAGCGTTCAAGAACAGCCTCGCTGATGGTAAACCTCTCGATGTACTGCTGCAGGATCCCGTCGGCCTCCTCCTGCGACCGTGCGTTCTTATATGCTTCGTGCAGCTCTCTCTCTCTCCGCTCTCTAGGTCAGGGCAGGGGAGGAGGAAGCAAGAACAAAGTCAACAGTCATGAAAATTGCAAAGGACCAAGGCAGAGCTGAACACATAGCACAGGGTGTGTGAAATACCAGCGTGAAGTCTCTGTAACAGGCAAGTTTTAGAAAAACACTAAATAATATTGTACATTCAAACACAAGCCCAGAAAGAACCCACTTTTCTTGAACAATTTCTCTGTAGGTCTTGATGCTTTTCCTTCGTTCACTGGTTCCATCCTCTCCAGCCAGTAACTTCTCCATTTTTTTTCTTTCCTCCTCTTTCTTGATCAAGTCTTGTGATGCACTTCTCCTACGACTCTTCCAACGAGCCAGGTCCTGGGTGGGAGAGACAGCATTCTTCAGGCCTGCACAGAACTCTACTTCCACTTTTCCCAGTGTATCTATTTCTTACTAATCATTGTTTGTGTCTTTTCTAAAAAAAGTTTAAAAATTATTTTTCATTTTCTTTGAAAGGCAGATAGATAGAAAGACACACAGATGGAGAAAGATTGAAGATCTCTCCAAATGCCCACAATAGCCAAGGATGGGCCAGGCCATATCTAGGATCCTGGAATTCAATCCAGGGCTTCCATATGGGTAGGAGGGACCCAACTACGTGAGCCATCACCTGCTGCCTCCCAAGGTGTGTGTTAGCAGGAAGTCAGAAAGGAAGCAGAGGAGCAGCTGGTGCTATGGCGTAGTGGGTTAAGCCTCTGCCTGTAGAGCTGGCATCCCATGTGGGTGCTGGTTCTAGTCCCGGCTGCTCCTCTTTCCATCCAGCTCTCTGCTATGGCCTGGGAAAGCAGTGGAAGATGGCCCAAGTCCGTGGGTCCCTGCAGCCACATGGGAGACTCAGAAGAAACTCCTGGCTCCTGGCTTCGGATCAGCTCAGCTCTGGCTATTGCAGTCATTTGGGAAGTGAACCAGTGGACAGAAGACCTTTCTCTCTGTTTCTCCCTTTCTCTGTCTGTAACTCTACCTCTCAAATAAATATAAATCTTTTTAAAAAAAAAAGAAAGGAAGGAAGCAGAGGAGCCAGGGTTTGAACCAGACACTGCAAAATGAGGTGCAAGTGCCCCCGGTAGCATCTTGATCACTGTGCCAGACGCCTGGCCCCGTGCAGAGTTCAGTGAACGCTGACGATGAGAAGAGGCACTGGGCTAGGGCATTCACATACAACCCAACTTCGGTCTGGCTAGAACGAGAATGCCTCAAAGGCAGGAAAGTTCAGATATTATGTGTGTACCCATATCAGGGCAGTGCCTTTAAGCACAGCCGTGTGATCTACATGATCTTACTCCAGTCAGCTGCCATGTTTTGGAGAGCTGCCTCACACGGTAATATGTACGAAACGTCACTTCTTCCTATTTATAGTCTGTCTTGCCAAGAGATTTGCTGATAACAGAATGGCAAGGCGTAATTGACAGTTTCCTCTTGGGAGGAAGTAAAAGGCAGAAAAGCATTAGTTTTGTCGTCTTAGAATCCAATGGCTCTCCATATATAAATTAATCAGATCCTTACAACAACTTCATCACCAATTCTACAGAGTTCTAGCACAATGAGAGAGTGAGGATCCTGGGGTCAGATGGATGGGAAGAAGCCCAGCTCTGTCTCGTCCGTGCTTTGGAATCTCAAGTATGCTTCTCAGCCTCTCTGTATCTCAGTTTTCTCATCTCTAAAATGGGGATGCCAGTAGCATTCTTACAAGCTCATAGGGTTGAATGCCAGTGTGTGTAAGGTGTCAGGCACACAGTCAGGAGCTCAATACATCTGAGACACAATCATGATGATACTGGGTGGGCTTTGGAGAAGTTACCTGCTTTGACTAGTGGTAGAGTCCAGTTTGCAACAGCTGGCTCAGTGCTCCGGAAGCACTCAATGAAATGGCGCTCCACTCCTCCATCTTTCCTGCTTCCCCTCTTTCCCGCTTTGGCTCTGCTCTCAGCACATGATCTCAGGGTCCTCCCCCTGCTCTTCCTCCTGCCTTCCCTGGTGCTCACCCAGCTGCCCCACAGCCCCACTGGGTAACTGTGGACAAGTGCCTTAGCTGTGTGAAGACTGATCTGCAGAACCCAGGACGGCCAGGGTTGCTAGCTTATGCAGTACTAGGAGGGTTAAATGAACGATGACCTGCAAAACACTTAGGACAGTGTACCTGCTGGTACGCTGTCAACGTTGGCAATTACTGCTGTTGCTGTCACCGCCACCACCACCATCAATTTCAAAAACACAACCTCTGAAGGCACAGCATCCCCCAGCTGCATCCCATGCCAGGTGCCCGCCTGGTGCTGCCCTCTCGTTTGTTACCAAGTTTCTGGCAACACTGAGGACAGGTCCCTGTCACTCACTCCACACCCTGCACGTGGCTCTCACCTTTTCTTTGCCACAGCTCTGCAAACCCCCCAGGAGCTCTGGTCTGGCCCTCAGCAGGGCTGTCAAGGGCTAGTCTTCCCCCTTCCCCCACCCTGCAGCCATCGCCCCACTGCCCGCACTGCCCTGCCCTGAACTCACGTCTTGCCATTTGTCGTCCTCTTCCCGCAGCTGGCTGTTTATCAGTTGCAGCTGCTCCTGGCGGGCCCTGCTGTGCGGCAGCACGGCGGCCTCCTCCTCGCACCGCATGTCAAACAAACTCGTGCTCCTGCGCGCGGGGAGAGCAGAGACAAAACCCCATGGCCATCAGCGCCCCTCGGTCCCCACACGCCCGTTCTGCCGCGTCCCGCTGCGTGGGGGCGCCAGCGGACCTGCGACCTGCCCGCCGTTTCCCCCCCACTGCAGCTCGCGCCAGGGCACCGGCTGTGGCGCTCCGCCCCTCCACCTTAGCCACAAAAGCCACGGAACAACCGCCTTTGTCTTCACGGGTAAAACCCAATCTGGTCAGCATCACTATGAAATAGGCGCCAACATAGGATTAAAGAAGAGCTAGAGAGAGGCACCTGAACCCCTGGGCTCCTCTCCTTCGGAAATGTATTTAAAAATAAAATAAGAATTCAAAGGCATACAGCGTGGGGAGGCCTTTTGGGGAAGAAGGACATAGTTCCAAACAGTGAAACTTGATTACAGCAAATAGTGTGGGTGTAGAGAGCTGGCTTCCATGTTTCTGTGCAAAGGAAGCCGATTTCCCCACCTTCCAAAAAATACAGCCTCAAGCTTAGGACGCTTTGTCCTGTTTCATTTTCAGAGTTGTTGGATGCATCTATATGAATTGATTATGTATATGTTTAAGTGGTTATTTCTTTTGATTTCCTGTAAAAACTCTCCATAACTCATAGTGCCACTGACAGTGTCTCAGAATCAATAAAACGAGGTATTTTATAATAATAATTAAGGCATAAAATATATAAAATAGTGCACTCTTCCCTCTCCTAATATTCTCACAATTATTTCACCTTTTTGGGGGTCAGGATACCTCTGAAGTTACTCTTTAAAAAGAAAAAGGATGAGGAAAGCAAATTTTAAAAAGCCGTGAGCTGGGGTTGGCGCTGTGACATAGCAGGTAAAGCCACCACTTGCAGTGCCGGCATCCCATATGGGCACTGGTTCAAGACCCAGCTGCTCCACTTCCAATCCAACTCTCTGCTATGGCCTGGGAAAGTAATAGAAGATGGCCCAAGTCCTTGGGCCCCTGCACCCGTGTGGGAGACCTGGGAAAAGCTCCTGGCTCCTGGCTTCGGATTGGTGCAGCTCCAGCCGTTGTGGCCAATTGGGGAGTGAACTAGAGGATGAAGACCTCTCTCTCTCTCTCTCTCTCTCTCTCTCTCTGCTTCGCCTTCTCTCTCTGTGTAACTGTGACTTTCAAGTAAAATAAATAAATCTTACCAAAAAAAAAAAAAAAGCCGTGGGCTATGCATGGAATTCATATAATCTATAGAACCTTATTAAATATTGGGCAAGACCTGTGATGCTGACCTATGTGACAGCACAAGCTGAAGCAGCAAGACGGAAACAGATATAGAAACCAAAGCAAGATCCTTTTTTTGTTTGCTTTTGCTTTAAAAAAATATGACCAGCTCTGTGTCCGAGTGGGATACACAGCAACCGAGGGCCGTGCAAGCGCGCGGAGAGCACAGCAGACAGTGGCGATGGCTCAGCTTTGAAGCCAGCTCAACACCAAGAAAGGAAAAGCCATGCGCTTGGACACCGGCTCATTCTGGACATCGCCAGTGATGTCCAGGATCCCGGCCAGGCAGCGAGCAGCCACAGCACCGCTGCGTGCAGTGTGTTCCTGGCACGCAGCTCTCTGGGAATTCCAGAAGACCACCGCCAAAGCCACAGCTGCCACCTTCATTCCAGTGCACCCAGAGCCGGGCTGCAGGGGCGCTTGGGTGTCTCTCCCCAGTCGGCAGATGCCGGCAGTGGAAGTCTGACCTAAGAGAGCTAACAGTGAAGAGTGTACTTAGGATCTGTCTTCCCCAAGAGTCTTTTAGTAACCCAGCTGCAGACAGGGACTTTTAGCTAGGGCTCGTGTTAGCACTGATGCGACCAGCCACTGGCTGCAGCTGCCGCCATACCTGGGGGTGGAGGGGTGGGGCAGCACTGATCTGGGCACCCTGCCTTCTAGAACACTGACCTGTCATCTTCGCTAGGGGAGAAGGGCTGTCATTTCTCACCTATTCACACCTTTACTAATGTTGTTTAAGAAAGGTTTAGGAATTTTCAAGGTTAGGTAGAAATGTCAAATCCAGATGTGTTTAAACTTCATTGATCAAAATTCACTTTAGTAGGCCTTTCAGAAACAGACAGAAATTCATCTCACTCCTCTCACAGTTAAATGAAAAAAAAAAATCTTACCTTAACATGCCTAATCCAGTTGGTTCATCTTTTAAAGCAATTTATAATCTTCACTAAGACCTTCAAAGATCAAAACCTCTTTAGGCTGGAACCTTCTTACAATCCACCAAGGAGCTGGCAGATCGTGGGAGAGAACGAAGGTCCCTTCCCCCAACTTTTGCTTTCTGTACCTGCTCAAGGGCAGAACTATGGCTCAGGCCACGGTGGGTACCTGTAGCAGCACCAGGTCTCCTGCTCGGAGGCCAAGAAGAAAATGGAACCAGGGTCTGGGATTTGGTTATCTCATTTACCTTCAGAACTGCCTTCCTGGGGCCCTCTCTCCATCCCACAGCGAAGGGCAGGCTGTTCCCGCCCCAGGGACCAAAAGCTACTTGTTTTGGCCGGCGCTGTGGCTCACTTGGCTAATCCTCCACCTGTGGCACCGGCACCTCGAGTTCTTGTCCTGGTTGGGGCGCTGGATTCTGTCCCGGTTGCTCCTCTTCCAGTCCAGCTCTCTGCTGTGGCCCGGGAGGGCAGTGGATGATGGCCCAAGTGCTTGGGCCCCTGCACCCGCATGGGAGACCAGGAAGAAGTACCTGGCTCCTGGCTTCAGATTGGCGCAGCACTGGCCATAGCGGCCATTAGGGGAGTGAACCAACGGAAGGAAGACCTTTCTCTCTGTCTCTCTCTCACTGTCTATAACTCTCTTTCACTGTCTAACTCTGCCTGGCAAAAAAAAAAACAAAAGCTACTTCTTTCAATAAAAAGAGAAACTTCTGCTTGCCCTTTCACATACCAGGAAGTACAATTTTTTTCCCAAGATATATTCTTTTAAAGAAATATCAACCAACTGGCCAAAAGAGAAGGAAAGAGAAGCTGTGAGTCATAGCTTGCCATTTTTAAAAAAAAGGAACTGAGAAAGTTGAGAATTGACAATACCAGGGAGCAAACGGGCTGAGTCACCATGGAGAAAATGCTCCCTCGTTCATGGTGGAACTTGGCCTTCCTGGTGAAGAAGCATGCATCTGGGGTGGGGTGGGGTGGGGTGGGGTAGGGGGCGTGGAGACGCCCAGCTTCCAGACTATCAGGGTGGCTTGGAGTAAATCTCTGCTTTCCTCACCCCACAACGTGTGCCCTGGGCGGCTGGGATAAGCGCCCCTGGCTGCAGAGCCCAGGAGTCCCTCTGGGCAGGAGTTGGGCTTTTGAGGGCTGGGATCCAATCAAGGGCAGCCTGTACAGTTGCTCTGGGCCAAGGCTAAGGTAAGGGGGATGCAGCGTGAGATGGCCTGTGGCTCTCTCAAGGAGCAGACTCCTTGGGTGGAGAGGGTGTTGGGGGGAGGGGCCTGTGCAGGTGAAATGGAATCTTTGGAAGCTGTTCTTGGCTGGCCAGCAGGTGGAAATGCCTTCATCTGCCTGTGTGCCTCTGACCTACATTCTCCTTAAAGGGTACATCATTTATTGATTAGGTTATATTTTTAAAATGTGTCAATTATTAATAAACATGGCCTGTGCCAGTTTTTTCCTTCAAAGATTTTTGGAAATGAGAGACAGAGGTGGGGGAGGGGTGAGGATGGGAAATAAATAAAAAATATTATAAATTTCTGTCTTCAAAAAATGAACTCTTGGGGTTGTGGCATAGTGGGTAAAGCTGCTACCTGTGACACTAACATCCCATATGGGTGCCAGTTTGAGTCCCAGCTGCTCCACTTCTGATCCAACTCCCTGCCAGTGGTCTGGGAAAGCAGTGGAAGATAGTCCAAGTACTTGGGCACTGGCCAACCCCATGGGAGACCCAGAAGAAGCTCTTGGCTCCTGGCTTCAGCCTGGCCCAGCCCTGGCCTTTACGGCCATTTTGGGGGAGCGAATCAGTGGCTAGAAGACCTTTCTCCGTCTTTCCCTCTCTCTGTAACTCTGCCTTTCAAGTCAATAAATCAATATTTTAAAAAAGTGAACCCATGGGTCAGCATTGTGGTGCAGCAGGTTAAGCTGGTGTCTATAATTCCTGTATCCCTTATGGCTCTAGTTCTCGTCCCAGCTGTTCCACTTCTGATTTACCTCCCAGCTAAAGCACCTGGGAAGGCAGCATAAGATGACCCAAGTCCTTGGGCCCCTGCCTCCATGTGGAAGACCAGGATGGAGTTCTTGGCTCCTGACTTCAGTCTGGCCCAGCCTGGCGGTGGTGTCTATCTGGGGAGTGAAATCAGCAGATGGAAGGTCTCTTCATCTTTATTTTTCTCCTTCTCTGTAACTCAGCCTTTCAAATAAATAAATAAATCTTTTTAAAAAATGAACTCCTGATTATCAGTTTTTCATGTTGAACTCCCATGGTTTCACATAGGTTACGTCTACTTCAAGCAAAAACCTCAGCACTTTGTGTATTTACAAATCTTTGGAAAAGAGACACCTTTTACCCATTTTGGTCCATGCTGCTGCTTTTTGTTAAGGGAGGCGAGAAGGCAGCCCCCATCTCCTCCTCTTTCAGAAAATCATGAACTCTCCCTGTGGGTAAGGTGTTCTGAAGCACAGGCAAAATTCAAAAGCTCTTTAATGCTGAGCCCTTTCTTTCACTTTCCAGGGTTTCCCAGAGATCCATTTTAGGCAGATTGCACGGCGGCTTTGCATTGATGAAGAATAAATCCATTCTATCAAAATGTTTTTGCTTGCCAAATCAAAGTAGTGTTTTGCCTATCAATCTTATGTAATCATATTGCCACTGCAGATTTTAAAAGTAATAACCAGGGCTCAGTTTTACAGACTACTTAGCTCTGCACAGTCAATCAAGCTGGGATTGAACTTGATTCTGAGGCATGAACATTCTCTATGGCAGGCCACTAACCAATCCAGATAGCATTTCAGAAATTTGGCCTTGGAGTCTGACTGCTTAAGGCTAAGAGTCCAGACTAAGCTAAGCACAGTGGATAATTGTTTAATGTTTTGGCTCATCTCACTGTCTTTGGTGTGTGCTACGCCCTTAGTTAAAGGCCTCATGCTGTGACTTGAAACCATGGCTCAGGCTAGGAGGACAGGCAGGAAGAGTGCTGGTGTCCACTCTTCTAAAAGCCCAGCCTCCCATGAGGCCACAAAACGCCTCTCCCAGAGCTACTGATGTTGGGACTGGATATTAGTCAGGTTTCTGAAAAAGACCAGTTACTCAAACCCAAGAAGGCTAGTATTCTGCAAAGCAAATGTCTGCCTAGTGTACCAGTTCCAGAATGTTCTGCACAGTGGACTGCCAGTTTTGAAAAGGGAGTTATTGGGGTCCCAAATGGAAGGGAGTGAATTCCTCCGAAATGTGGCTGTGAGGTGTGGGATGGATGTGGGATGGATCTCCAAGAGGAATGAAAAGCCACTAGCAGGGAAGGTAGCCCAAGTCGTGTTTTACACCCTTGACCCCCTGCTATGCCACGGAACTTGAACAAAACTCCAATGTTTTGGTCTCAAGCATCCCACAGTTTATGTGACTCCAACCTGGGAGGAACTTGGGCTTCTGAAGTTATAATTAGTGGCTTAGGATTTATTTTCTTAGTTTGAAAAAATGTGAATGGGGAATGACGACTTCATTGTTTACTCTAGACCATAGAATATCAAGAATTGAATGCCAAATTCAGACTATGCTTTTAATAATCCTGTGGTTCAGAAGGGGCACCAGTGTCTACACCCTAATGAGAAGGACTTTAACATGCCCAGTCTATGTAAAGCAAATGCTAAGTTTTAAGCAGCAGCTGCACATTAGAATCATGCTTAAGTTGCCTTTTCATTCATCCATCCTGCACGGAACATATGTTCTGCATTCCAACTGTAAGTGCTCCGCTGCACAAGTCAGTTAACCATTCAGTTCACTGTTGCATCAGTTGCATTTCAATTAGTGGTAAGTACTGGAAGCATGCAGTTTAGGCTAGTAATTAATAGAATCCTACAAACACAAAACAACTTACTCTGCGTCATCAGACACAGGAGTTCTCGGACCGTATCTATAAGACCAAATACAAAGTTAGAAGACCAGCAAGGCAGAAAGTCAACAGCGTAACCACACTGGAAATAAAAACTGCTGGTGAAATACATTTATGCCAAACCTTTTTGCTCATAATACTGGAAGAGAAATGTCAGTTAGCAATATTCATTAGTGGTGCTGCAAATCAAAGAAAAGTCTAGATATTTCTAAAGAATGTAAAATTTATATTAAGACCCAGAAAAGAAATGAAAATGATCCCCCATGCTGCACACAAAAATAGAATCTGTTCAATATAACAAAGAGGCTTAGGTGCAACCCACAATGTTTAGAGAAGGCAGCTTAAAGAAAAACATGTATTACGGTCATTCACAAACAGTTAAAACACTCACGCCTCTGTGCTCAGCAGTAATGGGCTATAATGTATACTCAACATACAAGTACACCCTGACCGCCCCTGCCCCTGCCCCTGATGTGTTAATGCATCTGCACAGCTGACATCAAAGTTTCCGCAGTTTTCCGGAAGCAAGCTAGAACTCCAACCAGAACTCCAATCAGTGCCTTCTGCTGGCGTTTGACAAAAACCACAATTCCTAGAAAGCCAGTAGCTTTAATCAAAACCACACATGGATGATAATCCATAACTTGCAAAACCCAAGTTTTTTTTTTTTTTTTTTTTTTTTTTTTTTTTTTTTGACAGGCAGAGTGGACAGTGAGAGAGAGAGACAGAGAGAAAGGTCTTCCTTTGCCGTTGGTTCACCCTCCAATGGCCGGCGCGCTGCGGCCGGCGCACCGCGCTGTTCCGATGGCAGGAGCCAGGAGCCAGGTGCTTTTCCTGGTCTCCCATGGGGTGCAGGGCCCAAGCACCTGGGCCATCCTCCACTGCACTCCCTGGCCACAGCAGAGGGCTGGCCTGGAAGAGGGGCAACCGGGACAGAATCCGGCGCCCCGACCGGGACTAGAACCCGGTGTGCCGGCGCCGCTAGGCGGAGGATTAGCCTACTGAGCCGCGGCGCCGGCCTGCAAAACCCAAGTTTTCCCCAATCTTTATACTCTTCCGAGGATTTAAGTAAACTTACACTCTCTGCGATAGTCACTCTAATTCTAAATGTATCAGATAAAGCAAAGCAAACAGTAAATTAGACAAAAAGTTAGAATATTACAATGGCGTATGTTAAGCAAACTTTTTTTTAAAAAAGCAGTTACACAAGTAATTGTTTTCTTTTCAGCCAAGCTGAATTTTAAGGACTGTTCTTACCTTGACCCTGAAAGGCTGCTCATTTCTGCATTTGGATGTGGACAGAGAGCTATTTCAGTAAAGAAAATACACCTTGCTTCCTGTCTCCAATAAATTACATTTTGGGGTTGTCAGCAAAATTATCTGGTCCTATGCTCGCTTTCATAGCACTTCAGAGGAAAAAGTGAACTCCTATAGATCTCTTCCCACAACCTTACAGAAAACACCTGGGACGCATGGCTGCACGCACTCAGAGCCACTCCTCTCCTGGGCTTTTATCATCCCAGAACAGTCTGCACGCACAGATCATCATTCCTCTGGAGCAAGGGCAACCACACCAGTAGAAAACCCCAAATCTCTGTGGAAATGGCCAAAAGCAAGACAGGGAAGGGTTTGTAAATGTTTTTCTTTTGGAAGTAAGACTTCTCATCTGTTTCTCCAGGGAATAATTCCAGAAAGTGCGAAAGTTTAACTTAATATCCTCAGTTTTCCAAAAAGCACCACTACAGAGAAGTAGACCATGAGTGGACTCTTCTACATCAAGAGTGTGTGCATGGACAATATTAATTCTGAAGACTGGATGACTGTTTCCCAGTTAATAAACAGACATGTTGGAATAGAATTACTCAAATACAGGGCTTTCTAAATTATCTATGAAGAGAGCACAGAAGTTCTTAATGGGCAGATAAGAAATAATCAATTAATAGCTTTTATGTGTTTTGTGCTTCTACTAAATACTTTTATTAATATTTTATTGAAATGCACACACTACACACACCCCTGGGTGAATTTAACACACCCAGAGATCAGTGTTGTGCTTTGTACTATATAAACAAACTCGTGTAGGATGTACTCCTGGGTGTGGCTTCTTTAGCACAGGGTTTTGTCTGTGAGTCTCAGCTGTGTTGTTGCATGTAGGATAGATCTGACTCTACACCGTTTCTGCACATGATAATTCACAGCATTTCACAGACGTCTCTGTCAACAAATGGAGATTTACAGTAAACTCTAAGCTTCATGGAACAGGGAAGGACTTTTCTGTTTGGTTTCCTGAACAGTGACCAGGCTAGGCTCTCGATAAGAATTTATGGAGTATCTATTGGAGACTTTGGAAAATGAAAAGAATTGCAGTCTCTGAAGATAACCGGCACTTATCCTTCTTTTTAATGCACTTGTAGACTTAAGGAATTTCCCATTCAGTTAATTTATTAGCTTTCAAGGAGCATCAACTTAAGCAGAATTGCCTTTGCTGGTAAGGGAAGATAATTAGAGCTTAGGCTTCAAGTGGCTTTCTTTTACAGTTGTCCTACAAGAAATCAAAAAATAAAGCTAAATCGTGGAAAAATTGGAGATTTTTAAAATGGAGAGTCAGTGAGTTAACATGCTACTGGATGCAAAATTGGCCAGAGAAATTACAGGAAGCAAAAGCATCCTACCCAAAAAACCAATATAGTTTAATTTTAAGGGTAGGGGTATTTAGAAAGATAAAGGGAATGCCGTATACATCTATTGACTGCATTTATATGACTTCCAGCACTAGTAAAGCATTTCAGAGTCAATAATCAGCTGGTGATGTATTTCTGTATTGTGAACTAGTGTTAGCTTCCATTGGAAGTGAGAGGGGGAAAATGGTTCTACTGCTCATCTGATTATCCCCTAGCACTCAGCACAGTGTTTTACACACAGTAATTATTCAGTAAATATTTGTTGAAAGGAAATATGAACTCCCAAGGTGTATACTAGCTCAATCACACAATTAGGTCACAGAGTAACCTGACTATACTTCCTTCTGATCCCATTACGCATCCTGGTTTGAATACAGAGTGGATTCTTTCTGAATCACAAGCACAGCGACAGACAGAAGCAACAGGAAATCCATCAGGTTTCCACAGTGCCCTCTGTGAACTTGTGTAGGCAATGGACGGAGCTGACTTTGAGCCTTGGCTCTGTAGTTACCAGCTGTGTGTATGTGGGCCTTGGCTTCCTAACTGCAAATGCAGATGGGAATTCTTAACTCTCAAAGGAGGTAAGGAATCAAGAAGCAGGAAAGCGCCCAGGTCACGTTCAGTAGGAAGCCTGTAGGCCTCCCTTCCTCCTTTCCTTTCATTCTAACCTGCTCTCCAGCATCACTGCGATCCAGGGCCAGGCTCCAGGCCGGGGCACCTGCCATGTGAGCAGCTATGGAGGACCAGGTTGATGGCTCACCTGCCGGGAACCCCGTGTGGCCCACTCACTTCACTTTATGTTAGGCTTCCTGTGTGTGGGATGGAGCTAACATCCATGGAACTTACCCATGGACTCCCAGGAGAGGGTGAGCGAGAGGAGCAGACGCACTTTGAAAACGCTACACAGGGCTCCATGGCTGCAAAGCACAAATACCGTCCCTGCTTCCTGAAAATTGTGTTGTAGTAAAGGCTCTACCCAATGTTGCTATTATCCACAAGAATGTAAAACAGGCTAAATCCAGGCGATAGAGATGGACAGGATATCGACATGAACTGGGATCACATGTGTTCTCCCTTCTTGCTACTCTGTCCCACTGACATCTAAATCCTTTGACAGCACAACTCCAACATTTCCTATTTTCTAGAGAACTTACAACTATGAAAAACACTCCTCACTCCTTTGCTGTGCATTGATCAGGCAGATCACGCTTGTAACAAACATACACCACTCCTATTAAATGGCAATGGAGGCTTCAGCATTGCCTTATTCTACAGCATAAACCCCTACTCTTCATCTGAAATCGAGGCAGAGCAGGGAAAAGACAGAAAGCCTATCTCTGGAAGGCAGTGAGGGTTTGCTAATGTTGAACAACTGATTACAAATTTTATAAGTAATTTTCATCCTCTTTGGACCTGGAATCAGAGTGAGATCAAGTAGGTCAAGAAGAAGTTCAACCCCTTTGCTCAAAGGTTCCTATGGGAACCAGGAAAGGACAAAAGAATTTCCATTTGTTCTGACCACAAGGATGAGAGTGGGAAAACACGTAACAGGTAAATTCACCACTAAACTATGCTTTTAGCCCCTGCCTACATGCAAAGAAGAAGAAAAAAAAAAAATCTTGGTCAGGCCGATTTTAGTCATTCCGTTGCTGCTGGCACTAGCAGGTAAGTGTCTCTGATGCACCAAGATGCATTAATAAAACACTCAGAGCATATTCCAAGGCGCAGCCTGGGGAAATAAAGTCACAAGGGCACAGGCCACCTGACCTCCGATCCTTCACGGGTGGATCCTCAGCGGATTCCTCGACCTCCTGTTGCTTTGCAAATGGAACCGGAAGGCACTGGTTTGGGCTGGATCCAGGGTGACTCAGGGACTCCCCAGTTGTCCTGGCCATTGTGTCATCTTTCTGTGACTCAGAGAGCTTTCCTTGGCCTTTCGGTCCACTGGCACTCCAGGCAGGCGCTGCTGACTCCTCCGCCTTCTCTTCAGCCCCTGCCGGCTCCCGCTCAGAGGCCAGAGGACAGGCACTAGAGCAACGTTCAGCCCAGCCGGTCAAAGGCTGCTTAGCACTAATGCTATTTTCAGTAGCGTCACTCACTGGCATTCATCCAAGACAGAAGAAGGCAACAGCCACAGAGGCAGCAGCACACAGCAGCAGAGTAGTAGGTGACCCCCTTTTTAATATGGAGACCCTCTGCCATGCAGCTGGCACTCACACGGGAATGGTTCCCCTCCTGGTTTTCATGATTCCTGCAAATGAAACCTGGCCAGTCCCCAGCCACATGCACAGGCCACAGTCTCTCCCTAGAGCGGCACTAGAAGCAGGGCTCAGATCTTGCCATGGGGACATTGCTGTGAGCGACTCTCCTCCCCACGGCGACAGTCACCGGGCGAGCGCACACGGTGCCCTTCAGCTGCTGTTGGGAACACACCGGCCACACGCGGCAGAGGCAGCACAGCACGGAAGGCAGGCAGGAGCTCACAGGGGCTGGCTGCTCTCCGCCGGGCATTCTGCCTCGGGCAACATCGCAGATGCTCTTGGAGCAACTCCTTCATTTTCTTCTTTGCCACCCTGTGGCACCGGTTTGGATGTAACTAAAGCCAGAGAGGATCGCTTTACTGCTAGGAAACAGCCTTCCCGGAGGCCTTGACCCCACCTGTGACCCTTCACCTCTCAGCCAGGCAGGAACGCTGCTCCTCACCTTCCTCCGTGTTCCCGGGGCACTCGCCCACACTGCTGGCCCACTCTTCCTGAGACTCCGGCACAGGAGCCAGCCTCGAGTCCCTTTGGCAATAGTCATCTAGGCCAGAATTCACTATTCTGTGGATCAAGTGGCATGGGTGGCAAGGGAGAAGAGGAGAAAGGGTTATGAAAGGAGGCCTCCTGGGGCGCTGAGACGGAAGATCCAGGGGGCTCAGCTGCTCTCACCCCAAGGCCAGCTAGGGAGGCTGCAGTGTGCAGCAAGGGCCTGAGTGAGTGGAGGAAGGTGGCCCGAGTCCGCTGAGTTTCTTTATATGCATAGCTGTCACCTCCCCCAAAGTCTGGAACCAGCCTGAATGGGGATTCTCCTATGGAAACTCCTGACTTACAGAAACTCCCCAAAGAGCAGCCTTCTCCACTCAATACTTTTGAAATATCAGAGTCCTTTACATTTTTTCTGGATCTACTGATAGTTGCAAAGTTTGGACTCAGGATACCATTATTTTTTTTTCTCTTTCTGTGGCGTAGGGCAGAGCAAGGTTACAGAGAAATCCACTTTTTATCAATAGATCTTTAGGAGAAACATTAAAGACCCCATTAAAACATTTCGCCTATGGAGTTCCTTCAGTGTGTTCAACTAAGAAAGCAGAGCTTGGGGCCACCGAGGGGAAAGGGTCCTATGCTGAGGTTGCTGGTGTTCCCAGGCACCCATTCTGGTGCAACAAAATCAAGATGCCTGCCCCCATTTGCACTTCACACACCTGCTGCCCCCAGGTGGTCCCTGCAAAGAGTCAACTGTGTCACCTCTAGGGCTGTGTTTAGGGTGCAGACCCTTAGCAAGAGGCTGCAGCTCTCACATGGCTCTCCCTGCACGTGGGTGCTGAAAGATACCTGCAGTCATCCTGCCGAGTGAGCACTGGGTCTTCCTTTAGTCCAGGGCCGGCGGCTGAGGCAGGGGATGCGGGGTGTGCTGGCAGCCTGCTGCTGTGGCCGGCGACTCCTACCTCCTCCCGGGGCCCCGCCTTGCCAATGCTGAGCCGCTTCCACTTCTGCTGGTCTATCTCTGTCACCGGCCCGAAGTGCACAAATTTTTGCCTTGGGCCGGAAGCTTTCTTATAGGCCCTGGCTTTGCGGCTGGCAAAGTCATCGCGGATGGCGGTTTCTGCTTTAATTTCTGGTAGAGGCTCGGGGGCACAGATTTGCTGAGAATCTCCGTCCCTATCAGAACCAGAAATAAGTTCCAGAGATTTCTAAGGCAAGTATGAATCAAGAAGAGGGTTTTAAATAATCCTAGATAAAAAAAAAATCCTAGATATTTCTACGGCTAGAGCAGCATTGCTTTTCCCTTGACCAATCAAATGAAGAAACGATCATTATCTCACCCAGGTAAATAGTGCTTGGAGTTTCTTTTGCACTCAAAGTATTAACTCTAATATCATGAGTGGGGGCACAGGAAAATCTTAGGTACAGTGGGCTAATGAAAATTATTGAAAAATTCAGCTGGTGAAATAGGATGTTTTTGGTCCATGTGGCTTGTAACTTTGAGTATTAATAAATTTCATTTCACACAGAACTTGCTGGTTTCCTCTGTATTCAGAGGCACTCCGTCTAGCCATCCAAATACAAAATGGTCAAGGATAAGCACCTGATTCCTGCAGAGCTAAACCGTATGACCGACTGGGGCAAACATGACACACCTCGTCTTTCCTGACACTTGCAGTCTCTCCCACGTCTTCAAGTCAGCTTCTGTTATCTTGGAGGGTATGATGAAGCTTGGGGCCTCGCGGTGAGGGCCAAGGCAGCCCTGAATTCTCCGCTGGGCCAGGTCGTCCTTGTAAAGATCTGGCACCTTCTTCCCTCCCTCTTCCACTGGTTCACTCTCCTGGGCCCTCGTAATACAGGTCGCTACTGACTTCAGCTCTTCTGCTTTGCCCTGGTTTCTGTCATTTGGATCCAAGCCCCACGCCATCGGAAAGTCGGGGTTCAAGGAAGGGGAGCAGACAAACAGAATGTCAAGCCCGGAAACTCAGAGGCTGAGGACAGAACACAATGCTAGAAACGCCATTCTCTCTCGCAAAAAATACGGACTCATTGGGAGCTCTGAGGACTTCGATCTACGCTGCTCTTTTAACACTAGAAGGAGACAGAGCTTGTCTAGCAAATCACGGGCTCTACTTTAGGAAGAGAAGCCAGGACTCGCTGAAAAGACCAGGAAGATCCACCATGAGATTCTGCTTTGCCAGTGACGATGCCCGATTCCCACACTGCAATGCATTCACGTTTTCTGATTCAATCCCTTAGTCCTCTTGGAATGTTTTTTACTGCACCAGTAAAATGTTAGTAAGGAGCTCTGTGTGATCCAAATTCTAGGATTAGTTTGGAGATAGCAGGAACCATGTTACTATATTAAACATCTCAACCATAAACCCACAACTGCCAGAAAGTGCATTTAAATTGATTCTGGACAGAAAGATTCAATGTGTCAAAAACTCAGTCTCAGCTTTGCAGTATTGGCTGGGTTTGCCTAACGTAAACTTGAAGAACAGAGACTGTGTCTCCTTTATTTGGATTTCCAGAGTCAGTGCCCTGTTCTTCACCACTGATATTTTCAATTGTTCCTCTAAGAAGTGAACATTAGCTGGCTCATGTTGACAGTGTTGTAATGTAATATAAACCAAAGCTGTGGCATCTATATGCATAAACATTCAGGCATACTAAAAGAAGAATGCTTCTTTGGATACAAAAAAAGTCTCAGAAATATATATAAATATGACCTACTGATTTTTTTAAAAAATATATCACCCAGAGCAGGTGTTGCAGCACAGTGGGTTAAGCCACTGCTTGGGACTCCTGCATCCCATATTGGAGTGCCGGTTCAAGTCCCGGCTACTCCATGCTTCCAATCCAGCTTCTGGTTAAGACAGCAGATGATAACCCAAGTACTTGGGTTCCTGTCACCCACATAGGAGACCTGGATGGAGTTCCTGGCTCCTGAATTCAGCCTGGACCAATCCTGGCTCTTAATTGCATTTGAGGAATAAACCAGCAAATAGAAAATTTTTCTGTCACTCTGCCTTTCAAAAAAAATAATTAAGTAAATCTTAAAATGGGTGTCTATCTATCATCTATCTATCTATCTATCTATTAATCATCTATCTCCCAATCCTGAAAAGCAGGAGGTATTCATTTGTTGCCTGGATGACATGGTGTATTTTTAGAGCCTATTCAAACAGCAAAGCCACAAAATTTCCTATTTACTTTTAGCTTGGGGAAAGGGATCAAGAAAGTGTATAGCAAAAAGCTATAAGGAATCTCATCTTTTTTCCTTTTGAAAATTAGTTTTTTGGGACTTTTTTTTTTTGACAGGAAGAGTGGACAGTAAGAGAGAGAAACAGAGAGAAAGGTCTTCCTTTGCTGTTGGTTCACCCTCTAATGGCCGGCGCGCTGCGGTCAGTGCACCGCGCTGATCCGAAGGCAGGAGCCAGGTACTTATCCCGGTCTCCATGGGGTGCAGGGCCCAAGCACTTGGGCCATCCTCCACTGCACTCCCTGGCCACAGCAGAGAGCTGGCCTGGAAGAGGAGCAACAGGGACAGAATCCGGCGCCCCAACCGGGACTAGAACCCGGTGTGCCAGCGCCACAAGGTGGAGGATTAGCCTTTTGAGCCACGGTGCCGGCTGAAAATTAGTTTTTTGAAGCTCTCTAGAGAGGTCATGGATTGTTTCAGACCCACAGCTGAGACCCCAGTCAGGTCACAACGGACAAATGCACTTGTAAATATCACAAATTAAAACTACATTGATAAGAAAAGAAAAAAGGGAGATACAAAAGCAACTCACGTTACTGATGGCATCCATATGCCTTGATGCAATTGGTTATCCAAAAGAATTTGTTGTACTTGCAACATCTGGGCTCTACCCTAAGGCCCTCCATGGATGGTTTGCTATGAGGCATAACAAGAAGAACCACAATGACTCAGAGCTCCTGAGGCCACAGGATATCTTGGAAAAATATGGTGCTGGTTTTCTCTGCTCTAATGTCTACCTGTTCTACCTGCAGGAATCTCTCACAGGTTTTGTATCTGGTACTTCCTTTAAATTTTTATTCATTTACTTCTTTTTTTTTCTTTTTTTGAACAGCAGAGAGAAATAGAAAAAGCTGCCATCTGCTGGTTCAGTCCCCAAATGCCTGCGATGGCTGAGTTGAAGCCAACAGTAGGAACCAGGAGCTCAATCCAGGAATGCAATTACTTGAGCTGTCCCTACTGCCTCCCAGGGTCTGCATCACCAGGAAGCTGAAATCAACCCAGACATTCTGATACAAGTCGTGGGCATCTTAACTGGCAATTTAATGGCTAGGCCAAATACCTGCCTCTGGAACTTCCTTTAAAAAATTAATAAAACCCTGAAATACCACTTACTCTACTAGGCTCAATAATTCGGCCAAAAATATTTTTAATTGTGTAAAGCACAGATAAGTTAATTCAACCAACTTTGAAATCTCCAAAAACATAACAATTTGATAACAAAGACATTAACTCTGATTTTGATATAAGGAAAAATAAACTCTGCAGGATGAAATTCACAAGTGCACATCTGAAATGATGCTCTGCTGCTCTGCAGACAAAAATTACTGGCCAAATAACATTCTACTAACATTTTCTGTTCTCCAGTTGGCTCCAGCACATTCATGCTGAATATCTCTTATCCAGTTAGTCTGGGATCAGAAGTGCTTCAGATTTGAAATTTATTTCAGATTTTGTGATATTTGCATGTGCATAATGAGACTCAAATCTAAACTTGATTCTTTTATATTTTATATATACCTACATACACAGCCTGAAAGTCATTTTATATGATGTCTTTAGTGTCCCTGTGTTTTGACTGTGACCCATTACAGGAGGTCAGGTGTGGAATTTTCCACTTGCGGCGTTATGTCAGTGCTCAAAATGTTTCAGACTTTGGAGCATTTTGGACTTTAGGTAAGTGATGTCCAACATATCTAACAGAAGGGAAGAAAACTGGGAGAAGGGAATTCCTTTGAAAATAACTTCCCTGATAGAACACCTGAGTGGATTACATGTTTGGAGAGTTTTTTGGTAGAAAATATCCACCATCATTTGTGAAGGAAAGAGCAAGCCCCGTTTCCCCCTTTCCAACATCTAAAAGCAGCTAATGGGAGAAACACTTATAGCAAAGGAATAACTATGTTTTCTGCTACCTTTGGACGGACTAGGGCATCCTTAAATGGTGGCTATTGCTCAGTAGGCAAAGAATGGCTACATATGCCAGTCAGTGACACCAGCACCCAGATGACTAACTCAGCCCTCATTTGGACATGGCCACTCTACTCTTTGCCATCTACATTTAGGCATTTAGTAAAAGTTGGATATTTTGAGTTCTACTTCAAAGTAAGCCACCACTACAAAGTACTTGCAAATGGGGTGGGAAAGAGGGGCAGGGCTGATATAAATCACCTTTACTTACGTTCTCTCTCACAGACATCTACACACACACACACATACCACATAGTGCACACCTTTTATATTCTAGGCTTTTCTTTTCTGAGTTTCCTTTGGAGGGTTTGCTGCCATCTGATGTCTCTGCCTCTTTCTTTCTATAAGGCCCATAGAGGAGCTGATTCAGTGGCACCGTTGGCTTGGGTTGGTTCATCCTTGCTCTCCTCGCAGCAAAGTCATCTTTCACAAGATCGGGCAGTCGACACGCAACTTCGTCTTCTGACTCAGAATCTTTGCCATGCTGATGGGTCAGGAAAGGGTTCTCTTTGCGAAGGATAATATCACAAATGGCGTCCTTCTCTTCTCTCAATTGCTTTTGACTGATAGAGCAAAATTAAATGTACCTCCCCACCATGTGATCAGATCAAGAACACTTTAAGTCCCCCTCTCCAGACAGACAACTATGCTGTTAGTGAAAAGTCTTCTAGGTATTGTTAGTTCAAATGGCATCTGTTGACTACTTTAGTCCAGAGTTACAGCGTAGTTAGGGTGGACTGGAAAGCCTTCATTTTCTTCCGTAGAAACCAGCGATACTAAAATTCGCTTTGCTTTTCAGAGCTCCAGCCAGCATCAGAAGGACAGGATCCTAAATGGCTCTGAAAGTGACAATGCAAATTCTTCCCATCAAATTGAGAAGAAGTGGAACACTCTTTGCTGCTGTTCTTTTTTCTTTAGCATATGAGTAATGTGCCCAGCAGGTATTCAGATTTGTTTGTGACTGACAGGGCAGAACACTGAGCCACCAAGAAACTGATCTCAGGGGGAAGATGAACGCTTCTAGCTATGTGACAGCACACCCAGAATGTGCACTGGATCGCAAACTGTGACGAAGGGCTTTCTGCAGGGTTGAGTTAACCTGACGCATCTGGAAGAGCTTAGGAGCACTTGCAGAGTGGACCCAAGGCATAAAAGCTCATCTTGCCCTGCACCCTGCCATCCCCCCTGACTTCCCACCTTCCAGCACTGCTTCTCGGGCATATGATAGGTGGCCAGTAAATCGTGGTGCGAAATTTTGCTGGAATGGATTTGAAATGATTACTATGGGCCATTTTCAAAGGGATCCTGAAGGCCCTTTTGAAACTTAAGAACTTTAAATTCCTGGAGACATGGAGTTTAATAGTGGATCATCAGGCAGTAAGTCTTAGGACCTTTTCCACTTTATTTTGTTTTTGCTTTTGCTCTGAGATGGAGGAAGCCTGCAATCATTGTGTCTACGTGACATACAAACAAACCGCCACCCCTCTACTTATGTATAAGACCAGCCTTGCTTCTAGTTATAATGAATTTGAAACCTTTTGTCATCATTTATTATCTTCTTAAATAATCCCTTGGCTTCTACAGAAAGTTTGTCAACTTTGATCTGCTTTCTGAGAGAGACTTAAGAAAAAAATTCTTTATCCACAAAGGACAAACTCATCTCAGAAATGAAGACAGGAGGAATTAGCCTGGCTGACAGCAGAAGAGCAGTGGAATGCCATGTAAAAGAACACATCGATGATGACACGAAGATAGCAAATGGTTATTAAGCACATACTCTGTGCTAGAATTCTTGTACCCTAACACCAACTCTGGAGGTCAGAGTCATTATCATCCCCATTTTGGCAAGTGGAAACTGAGACATGGTTAAGACATGTACTTGGCCAGCGCCACGGCTCACTAGGCTAATCCTCTGCCTGCAACGCCGGCACCCCAGGTTCTAGTCCCAGTCACCATGCCGAATTCTGTCCCGGTTGCTCCTCTTCCAGTCCAGCTCTCTGCTGTGGCCCAGGAAGGCAGTAGAGGATGGCCCAAGTGCTTGGGCCCTGCACCCGCATGGGAGACCAGGAGGAAACACCTGGCTCCTGGCTTCGGATTGGCAAAACATGCCGGCCGTAGCGGCCACTTCGGGGGTGAACCAACGGAAGGAAGACCTTTCTCTCTGTCTCTCTCTCTCTCTCACTAACTCTGCCTGTCCAAAAAAAACAAAAACAAAAACCCCCAAAACCAAAAACAAACAAAAAACATGTACTTGAGGTTGAAGAGCTAGGGCTTATATTAAAATTCAAGCCCACGGGGCCGGTACTGTGGTGTAGTAGATTAAGCCTTTGCCTACAGCATCAGCATCCCATATGGGCCCTGGCTTGTGTCTCGAATGCTCCTCTTCTGATCCAGTTCTATTCTACTGTGCCTGGGACAGTAGTGGAAGATGGCTCAAGTACTTGGGTCCCTGCACCCACGTGGGAGACCTGGAAGAAACTCCTGGCTCCTGGCTTCGGATTGGCCCAGCACCAGCCATTAGGACATTTGCAGAGCAGAGGATAGAAAACCACTCTCTCCCTCCCTCTCACTGTATGTAACTCTGCCTCTCAAATTAAAAAAAAAATTCAAACCCAGGCAGCCTGGCTTCAGAGGCCCTGCCCTGTGATAGTAAAGGGACCAGTGCCCTACTCATTAAACAAGAATGATGCCAGGAACGGTTTTGAAAGTACAGCATCATACAGAAAATAGCACATTATCATTACTGTAAGAACAGGAGCCAGAGAGGCGAGCTGGTTACTAAATAAGGGGCTCTTGAGAGCTGTGCTTAGAATGGAGGCGTGATTTGCATTGCTGGTTATAGACAGCAGTGATGATGGCAGAATGCTAAGTAGCCATACCTTACAGTATCTGCACAATCCTGTATGGTTTACCAAGCCCTTTCAAGTTCCTACCCCAGTGTGGAGGCACACAGCCCACAGACCCTAGTATACCACTGTGGGGTCAGATTCTCAGCTTCAACCTTGCAAGTCCAAGAGCAGCACTAGTCCTGGGCTTCAATTCATGCAGAATTCTTCAGAATAAAATACATACATTTATGCAAATGGCCCTGCCAATTTTCGATGCCAAACTGAGCAGAGAGAATCTGGTACCTTATGTATCACGTGAACCCAGCCTGGCTACAAATTCCCGTCTGTTTCGTTTTAGGCTCAGTGCCCAGTATGGCAGGACTCCTTTCAAATGATCTCAATTTAGATATGTGGACTTAATAAAAGGGAGTTAAAGAAAGCTTTCCGTATCATTGGCCACTTAAAGACACACCCTGCCCACTTGAAAAATTGTCACAATGATTTTTTTTTTTTTTTTTTTTTTTTGCTAATTGCTTGAATCTTGCAAATCCAGAGCTTCAAGGCAGGCTTATACAGGGTTTAAAATAATAATACAGATTCTGGGTTGTCACTGTTGACTATGAAATAAATGATACAGCTATGAGGGGTCTGTCAAAGTTTATGGAAAACATGTTCTTACAAAAATTATGCATGGGTTTCAAAACATTTTGGAATTGACTTATTTTTCAATGCCATCTTTCCCTGAACATTCTGGGGTGCCCTCGTAAAGTGTAGGTTTGTGTTTACAGGTGTATGGCTACCAAATATACAAATGGCTTTTCTGTCTTTCCTTGAAGGACCTCCAGTGCAGTTCATTAGGAAACTGGTATATTTGATTTGATGTTCCAGTAACTACAGCTCCCTGAGCAGCTCGTACATGCCAGATGTACTAACTCTCATGACAACACTGCCAGATAGGAATAATGATGGCTACTATGCAGAGGAGAATAACAGGATCTTTAGTTCAAGTTATCTGAACTTAGAGAACTTAATGTAAATAAACATAATAGGTAGACACAGGCTATCCAGCTTCAGGTTCACGGTGAGGTTGTAACTTTTCTTTCATTTGGGTCATGTAAAGGAGAGTTGCTTCCGTAGGAAGCACGGGCTCGCTTTTTGGGAGGAACATAGCCCCAGGTGAGATGAGAAACGCCATGACCTGTGACTGACCTAGCAACCCTGACCAGCCTCATCTCAAACAAATAAGGGAGCTGGTGTTGTGGCCCAGTGGGTTAAGTTGCCTCCTATGATGCTGGTAGCTCTATACTGAACTCCAGTTCAAGTCCTGGTTGCTCTATTCCAATCCAGCTCCCTGCTAATGCACCTGAGAAAGCGGTTGAAGATGGTTCAAGTGCTTGGGCCCCTGCCACACACATGGGAGACCTGGATGGAGTTCCTAGCTCCTGGCTTTAGCCTACTCCAGGTCTGGCCATTGCAGCCATTTGGGGAGTGAACAAGTAGGAGAAAGATCTCTCCCTCTCTCCTTCTCTCACTGTCACGCCACCTGTCAAAAAATAAAATAATTAAAAAAAAAAAACCAGGCTAAGGTTGTCATGGTAGAAGAAATTACAGACCCACAGCAGGGCAGGAGAGAGAAAAGCTCTTGTCTCCAGGTTTCAAAGGCTTGCATATTTCAGAGTGAATGAGATCAGGAAGAGCTGCCATTGTCTTTCCCTGTCTTTCACCGGGCAACACAGAGGCAGCCAGCTCAGACCCGCAGCCTGCTGGTTCTATTGAAAGAAACTGGGCTCTCCAGAAAAGCCGCTTAGTGTTCCTGGGAATGTCACTGGTCCCCACTCATCTCCGGGGCAGGGCAGCTGCACCCAGCACCACACGGGTCGGGTCGCGCAAGCCACGCGCCTGCCTGTCCCCAGGACCCACTGATCCGCGCAGCAGCGGTCAGGAGTCAGTTCCGGTGAGGACGGATGTGAGCGGCTCCGTGTCTGGCGCCTGCTGGACCTGCTCTTCCTCTAAACTCTCTAAAATGTCTATTGTTCCTCGGAGACTTTTTGTCCTTCTGTAATTAATTATTATGTGGTTGAGAAGATTCACAGACTAGCAGGAAATACTGAAACATATGAAAACAATTAGAAACGAAGTCCAATCACGTGAAACCTATAATTCAGTGCAAAAAAAAAAAAAAGTTTACTTCTCCAATGGGAAACACTGAGTAAGAGAACGCAAATCTCCATGGCATTTTAATTCAGGGGAAGTGAATCTTGGTTCTTATTCTATCCTCTTAAAAACCGGAATCTTGGGTTTGGTTTTTTTTTTTTTTTTTTTTTGGCAGAGTCTTATATTTGAGGGGGTAATTAAGTTAGCAAAATCATAAAATATGAGTAAAAGTATTTTATACACTTTTTTACTTCATTAGAAACTCTAATAAATACCAAACTCTACACATTTATTAAGAAGTTCTACTCCTTGTCCCTCGATGCTAAGTCACCTCCCAATATATTGCTTGACAGGAAGCTTGGGACTTCTGGGTTTCTAACCTTCCATAAAAATGGAATTAACAGGCATCTTTGCTGCTTTTTGTATATTGTATTAAAAATCGGCCAAGGAGGTGTTTGAGAATACTTGTACTTGGGAAATAAGCAAAAACAAAACAAAACCATCTGCAAAAGCAAAGCTTTGTTCTTTGTCTATATGTTACACCCCTCCCCCATGCCTCCCCACTCTCATTCATCCCTGCAAATACATAACTCTCCCAGCTGAGCAATGGGCCACAAGAAGTATCCTGGGCTTCTTGCTGGGTTCAAAGATGAGATGGCCAGAATTCATCTGGATGTTAAAGAGAGCAGGCAGAGGTTAAAATGATTTGAGCGACTGCTGCATATGTCAGTGATTTATATTATCTCCAGACATCAAGAATCCTTTTCTTCTCCAGCACAGGCATTTCGTTCTACTTAAGGCACTTTCTGCCACTTAAAAGCAGGATCCTGAATGTGGATAAACTTATAATGACTTTCAACTCTGTCGAGGCTTGCAAAAAGTAAGCGACAAAGATCTCGTTATGCCAGGCTGGTGGTGTGGTATGCATGGAACCTTTATGAGTGAACCAGGAGCTGAAAACTGTGTCTGACAAATGAATTCAGGGCGTCTGGGGCAGCTGTGTTGCGTTGCTTTTCGGAGTATGCATAATTGTCTTAAATCCAATTTTAAGTCAGAAGATTAGAAGTGTGATGGCATTAACTGACTTGCAGAATTCCACTGAATTAAAACTAACATGAGTAAATAGGTAAAAATGAAACCAGAGAACAGGAAATATGGTTGAGAGAAGAAAATGACCACATCAGTATAATATACATCAACCAAAATTACATTTTTAAGTTAACCATGATTCTACATGTGTACACCACTTTGGAGTTGTCATAAAAGACAAAAAAATAAAAATTACAAAAACTAAAAAAAATTTTTTTAGTTAAAAAAATTAAAAAAAAAATAAACTTCCCATTTGCTGTAGTGGCCTGGTAGCCTCATGGAGTGCCCAGTCTTTGCCCAGTTTCTCCTTTTCTGCTCCATCTCCATGATTCCTGTGTCAACTAGGTTAATGCAGCTCCCCACTCCCTTTCTTCGTGGCAGATTCAGAGATGATGGCTTGGTAAACTCTGACATCAAGACTTTACAGATATGATAAAAAATGCAGGTCTGTGTGGCAAAGATACGGAAGGGTAAAATCTTGGGTAAGTTCATACCCTTATCTTTCTGATCTACTCTGCTATGTCCTGGGCTTAAAGACAGAAGCAGGACAAGTCTGAAAAGAGGCATGTGACCTTCTCAGCACCGACCTCTGTCTCTGGTACAAACGGATGCTCATGGAATGCAGAAGAAGTAGGTGTGTGACAAGGTCCCAGAGTCAAAATGTAAGGCTTTCTAGATTACTGTTGCCCGTAAGTTTCTACAACATCACTCTTCATTCTTTCAGAAGCCCAAGAGCTGCTGCTTATAACACAAACACAACTGTAGGTTAGAACTTTCTAGAAGCCCGTACATGTTCAGGGTAGGCATGACTCTGTGGGATACCACAGACAGGGAAAAAGTATATTATTGGGTTTTTATCAACACAAAGCTACTCTAGGATTAAATCCACATAAGTTAATGTTGGGTATTTCCATTAAAGACTGAACCACAGAAACAACCACATGTGGAGTTGTGCAGAGGAATGGAAAATGTTAGTTAAGGGCAGATGTGCTGCTGTGGTCAGAAAGCTGGAACCTGGCTCCCAGGTCAGTGCTGATGACCAGTTGCTTGCTGGTCCTCAGTCTCCTCTTCTGAGAAACAAACAAATACCCACCTCTTAAACAGCACCACAAGTGACAAAGGAATCCAACCGTCAAACTGTCGTGACGAATGTCCATCTGCCAACTAAATTTGGTCTGCACTATTACTTGTTCAGATTGTTGTGATTATTATGTAAGAAAAATTAGCCAGCTTCTGAAAACATAGAAGAAATACAGTTTTTGGTGGCTTTGACCCCTGAAGGCCTCCATCTCAGTGGGGATATGAAGCCATCAGAGGTGCGCACTAGGGTCTTAGTCACAATTGAGAGAAGTAACTACTGCACGCTTGGTTTTTCAATCAACATGTTTTGGAAATAAGGAGTCAAGTAAATTCAGTCCTACTTGCTTCTTCCTTGGGACAAAGAAGATAAACTCATTTTTCGTAAGGCAGCTACTCTTTCCACAGACGGTGTTCCTCATTTCCAAGAAACTGACAGTTTTCTAGGGATGTGTACAGAAAGATATGAGCCATTTAGGAGTAGTGTGAAAGTGAACAAGCCATAAACAACAGAAAAATACAAAGTTACCGCTGGGTGAATCCTGCAGCCCACAAATGACTGACCACAAGCACATGAGGAGGACAAAGTCTAACCAAGCAGCAAGGAAGTCACACTTGACCTCAGTACTTAGCAGAGACATGCCCAGAGGCAGACCGCTGTCTACTTCTATTTGCTCAGAGTAGGGAATGTGATGCAATGGGCCAAGCAGGAAATGGGAAAGCCAGCTGAAAACTCCGACTCACTAGACACATTGCAAACTCCCAAGGCATGCAGAGAGGCAGCCAGACGGGCCTCAGCCCGCAGAGCTAACCTGGCAAAGCGCTGTGCTGCTGGCATGACCTTGATTCCTGCTTGCTCTAGCCTTCTGCGCTTTTGAACTTCAGCAGCATCTTTTTCTTCTGACCTGGCCGTGGGTGTCACCGTAGTCCCCTCTGAAGGAGGCTGCCCCTTACCACTGCCGTCGGGTAATTCTAACCCGGCATCAGAAGGATTTCCACCTGCGTCCATCTGGCCAATTGGGTCCTCTTCACCCAGAGACCCCATGTCACTTCCCTCTTCCTCTATTGTTTCAGGATAGCTGGTGAGTTGGACAGTATGGTTTACCAAACCAAGAGACTGGGCTGGGGAGCTGACCAGTGCTATCTCCCAACCACTCTGATATTACTTTTTACTTAAAAAAATACAAGTGATAGCAAGCAGTTTGATCCTGGTAATGTGAAGAAAATTAGACATAACCATTTATGAAGTAATACATTACATCATACTCTCAATACGGGTTAAGAACGTTCCAAACTTAATTTTGAAAGCAAACATCTTTACTGTTGGAAAGGTAAAATTCATTAGTCTTGTTCAATAGTTAAACCTTTCAATAAAACGTTCATTCATTGAAAGAAAATCATACATAATCAAGATGGACTACCATACAGTTTCTTTTAGTATAAGGTCCTTGAAGGCAAGGGACTTTGTCTAGTATTGGGTCCCCAGTGCCTACGAGGCAGCACCTAGTGGATGACCAGTAAGTACTTGCTGAATAAATGAATAAATAAATATAAAAACATAATTAGAGAATAAGGAAAAACACTGAAGTAGGGTGGGAACGTCCAGCCCACAGGCTGTACAAGGCCTGCGACATCATTTGGTCTGACCTTGCCAAGGCAGCTGCAGGTGAGGCTTGATAGTCAAATAAATCTACTGCAGGTTAATTTTTAAGTTGATCATTTTGTATGTCCCACAAATGATGTTATAAATATCCAAATGGCCCTTGGCAGAGTCAAGATTGACCACCCCTGCTCTAAAAAGATGAGAAATCCAGTGTATCTTCCATTCAATATGACTGTTTCTACACGAGATTGTGAAGCACATTCCAATGCACTGGTCTATAGCTGAGCTTGTATCTAGATAAACTTGCATCTTGATCAAAGAAGTCTTTTTGCATAAAGATAAAAGACTTTCTACACTTAATGTAACAAGACTAGCAGTCAGGCATGCTCCACAGAAAAGACATGCATGACAGATCTGTTCTTCATGTCCTGTCAATAGAACTGGTTTCGTACATCTGCTTGTTAGACAAGTGTTTGTTGAATATCGACTGAGTGCTAGACATTTTTCTAGGTGCCTTCAGGAAGCTGATATTTTATCATGACAAGTTTTCTCCAACGATCTGTCCTGCCAGCCTCTCTTTGTAATCCTCCATCCAAGTTCAGATTATGACTTAACCCCACTCATATCCAGGAGCTATAGTTCCTACACCACTCACACTCCCACTGGGAGCAGCACAGATCAGGCCTTACCTGAAGGGCCTCTCACCACCCAGCGGGGAGGTGGCAGTGCTCCAGCTCTTCCTGTACTCCTCCCGCTCCGCCTTCTTCTTTCTCAGAGGAGCGGGGACGTAGGCCGTCTGATTGCTCTTGTTGGGGAGGTACTGGTTAAAAGGCACTGCTGATTTTGGCTCACCATGGGAAGTCCGTCGTGCAGACATGTCATCTTTCTTCACATCTGGTAGCTTCCGATGTGGCAAGTCGGACTCAGAGTCGCTTCCTCTCCCTGGGGAAGAGAAGAAGGGTGCTGGGCTAGCAGGGAAATTCCCAATGTCAAGTATGCAGTATTGAGGACATGGTTAGACCTGTGGGTCTCAGAGATTTCCCCCCTTAAATGATTCAGTTAGCAAATCTAAAGTATCAGTCTAAATCAGTCCCTACTCAGGCAAAAGCTCTCAATTCTAATCAGGAAAAAACTAAAAAATAAAAACAAATGCCCAATTAAAACAGAAAATAGAGATAAGCCCAACTGTGTCTAGGAATTACAATGGGCCACACATTTGCGGTAGCACTACATGCCTGCTGAGATTCTGCAACTCTCACTAAATTAACTACTATAGTTTTCTTTTTTTTTTTTTTTTTAATTTGACAGGTAGAGTTAGATAGTGAGAGAGAGAGAGACAGAGAAAAATATCCTTCTGTTGGTTCATCCCCATATGGCCACTATAGCTGGTGCTGTGCCTATCTGAAGCCAGGAGCCAGGTGCTTCTTCCTGGTCTCCCATGCGGGTGCAGGGGCCCAAGCACTTGGGCCATCCTCCACTGCTTTCCCAGGCCACAGCAGAGAGCTGGACTGGAAGAGGAGCAACCAGGACTAGAAGCCAGCATCCATATGGGATGCCAGCGCCGCAGGTGGAGGATTAGCCAAGTGAGGCACGGTGACGGCCCCGTAACCACTGTAGTTTTCACTGAGCATCTGCTGCACATCGCACTCTGCTAGAATTTCTAACAAATCAGAATTATCTAGGATTTTCACTTTGCTGTATCTTTAACCAACCTATGAAATACGCTGAGAATTTATGTTATAATCAAGGAGCACAGACATGTAAGAACAGGGATTCAGGAAAGTGGCTGATTCGTATTATACAAAGGGTTTGCCTTCCAGGAAGTGGTTTCAGATATAATAAATGCATATTCCTATGATGGGAGTCTGGTTCCCCTCGCATGGGGACAGTGGCTTCTTCCTGTGGGCCCTATGCCCTAGGATCTTGTCTTTTTTCTACCTTGTATTTTTAGAATCAGGGCTTTAAAGAATTCACATTGCCTTTGCACGTGTTGGCATCCTCAGATTATCAAATTTGTGTTAGGCTTAAAGAGTGCTTTGGACAATGCAAAAGAATTCAATGTTACTAACAATGACCTTTTGTTGAGGAATAGCCCCAATAATTATACAGTATTCTTGTTTCCCAAGTCCCATTCATCAGGTTTCTAAGATCTATTAGAACGATGCTATTGCTAAAACTGAACACTTTGGCATAGATATCCACCATTTTAAAGTTGGTTGATTGCTGTTAAGCAATGAGAGCTTTTTTTTTTTTTTTTTAATTTTTTTTTTTTTTTTTTTTTGACAGGCAGAGTGGACAGTGAGAGAGAGAGACAGAGAGAGAAAGGTCTTCCTTTTGCCGTTGGTTCACCCTCCAATGGCCGCCGCGGCCGGCGCGCTGCGGCCGGCACACCGCGCTGATCCGATGGCAGGAGCCAGGAGCCAGGTACTTCTCCTGGTCTCCCATGGGGTGCAGGGCCCAAGCACCTGGGCCATCCTCCACTGCACTTCCTGGCCACAGCAGAGAGCTGGCCTGGAAGGGGGGCAACCGGGACAGAATCCAGCGCCCCGACCGGGACTAGAACCCGGTGTGCCGGTGCCGCTAGGCGGAGGATTAGCCTAGTGAGCCGCGGCGCCAGCCAAGCAATGAGAGCTTTACAAACAAGATCAATCAACTCTGTTGATAACACAATATACCTATTTACAAGTAAGAAAAGAGACTTGAACTAAGAAAAAAGAGGTGGCAGCCTGGCAGAGGGGGCCATGCCTGGGGATTAAGCCAGTTACGCTTCATTCTGAGTCCCCTATATGTTAGCTATTTCACTTTGCATATTATCTTTCATCAGCTGAAACCTCAGTTTACCAACCTGTAAAATGAGGATAGTAATGCCCCTACTTCACAGGGCTGTTGGGAGAATCGGACTCATGTAAAACTACCAGTACAGGACCTGACACAGAATAACTTTAATAAATGCTGACTACTCTTTCTGTCAGTCGGAAATGAGCTGTGCTCTCGTGGGCTGGGTCTCTGGCACACTTGACTGTCCTTTTCTATAAAATAGAAACGCGGTGATTTTCCCTGTAGATGAAATGATATAATGCATTTAAAAGTTAAAAGCACTGACCATAAACAAGTTGTTCATTGTTGTGGATGAAACATTCAGTTTATAAATTATCCATGCCACTCGCTTTCAGTAGTCCTTCGGAAGCTTTGGCCACTCTATGACTTGTTACTAATCGATTCAGTACTTAGCTCCTTTCCCACCCCAAGTCTTTTCTTAAGTGTATCTGTCACAGCTCTAAAATATTTACAGTCCTCTGTAAGTGGCATTATATGCAAATACTATCTATTATCCCCATTTTATTAAAGGTTGGGAAGCAGCGACTCCCCAAGGTTGAAGGGGCCTTTTCTCTATGGCTGGCTAGGGACTGCCCTGGACTCCTATCTCTTTCTTTCTTTCTTTTTTTAAAGATAAATTCACAAGTTCTTTTATTTATTCATTTATTTTTAAGATTTATTTATTTATTTGAAAGGCAGAGATACAGAGAGAAGGAGAGCCAGAGAGAGAGAGAGAGAGATTGATTGATTGATTTTCCATCTGCTGCTTCACTCCTCAGATGGCTGAAATGGCTGAGGCTGGGCCAGACTGAAGCCAGGAGTGTCTTCTGGGTCTCCCACATGCAGGCAGGGGCCCAAGTATTCGGGCCTTCTGCTGCTGCTGCTTTCCCAGGTTCATTAGCAGGGAGCTGGCTCGGAAGTGGAATAGCCAGGATTCGAACTGGCACCCATATGGGATGCCAGCACTGCAGGTGCAGGCTTAACCCTCTATGACACAGCAACGGCCCTGAGACTCCAATTTCTGTTTTTCCAATACCCAGCCAGAGTTCTTGCCTCTCTGACAGATTTCTCTTGGGATGTTCAGTGCCCTAAGGGCAGCACTATGCTTTGTTGAGTAAACAAACGGAAGAAAATGATTCTTCTATCAACTGTGAAAACTTAGGAATACAACAGTTTTGTCTCAGGTCCCTCAATTCTCAGCCCATAATCCATAAACTTTATTTGTGTAAATATATAAAACACAGAGGTCTTCAAGAAGTTCATGGAAATGTGTATTATAAAAAACTGCATGGATTTCAGTGCTTTTGCATCAAAATTACCTTATCTTTTAATTCTTTCGATTAACTTTCTGAAATATCCTCCTATATTACCTATAATGTATTAACTGAAAGTTTCAAAGTATGCTGTTTAGTACCTAAGAAGGGAACCTTCCTCTCCTCCACCAATTCTTCTTCTTCTTCTTTTTTTTTTTTTTAAAGATTTTATTTATGGGGCTGGTGCTGTGGTGCAGCAGATTAATGCCCTGGCCTGAAGCCCCAGCAACCCATATCGGTACCAGTTTGAGACCCGGCTGCTCCACTTCCGATCCAGCTCTCTGCTATGGCCTGGGAAAGCAGTGGAAGATGGCCTAAGTCCTTGGGCCCCTGCACCCGCGTGGGTGACCCGGAAGAAGCTCCTGGCTTTGGATTGGCGCAGCTCCAGCCATTGTGGCCAATTGGGGAATAAACCATCAGATGGAAGACCTCTCTCTCTCTTTGCCTCTCCTTTCTCTGTGTAACTCTGACTTTTGAGAAGTAGAGTTACAGACAGAAAGGGAAAGACAGAGAGAAAGGTCCTCCACCTGCTGGTTCACTCCCCAAATCATTCTTTGATGAATGTCTTAAACAGACATTTGAAGAAACGCAGACATTTGAAGAAACGTTAACTTAACAAATATCTCAGGGCAATGTGGCTCAATTGGAGGAAGTGTAGCTTATGGACTTAGTATCCAGGGTCTAATTTCAGCCCCTGTAGCTGTTAACTTTGTGACACAGGGAAATTTAAATCCTCTGGGGGCCTGCGCTGTGGTGAGCAGGTAAAGCTGCATCCTGCAGTGCTGGCATCCCATATGGGATGTCCCAGCTGCTCCACTTCTGATCCAGCTCTCTGCTGTGGCCTGGGGAAGCAGTGGAAGGTGGCCCGAGTCCTTGGGCCCCTGCACCCATGTGGAAGACCTGGAAAAAGCTCCTGGCTCCTGATTGGCACAGCTGCAGCCATTGTGGCCATCTGGGGAGTGAACCAGCAGATGGAAGACCTCTCTCTCTCTCTCTCTCTCTCTCTCTGCCTCTGTCTCTCTGTAACTCTGCCTTTCGAATACAATAAATAAATCTTTTTTTTTTTTAATAAATCCTTTGTACCTTTGGGTCTGCATGGGACACACAGAGGTGATAACACAGCTCTCAGGCTGTTGGGAGGATTGAATGGGAAGTGGCCATCATGGCACAGCTTCAGAAAACACTAGCACTCTTCTTACATGAGGCCAGGAGGTCAAACAATTCTGAGTTCACATCTTCCCGCAAGCCCGGGCATTCCCTAGGGTGGCTTCTCTATTTATGTCCAAAGTTAGGGAAACACAGCAGAGCACGAGGTGATGATGTAACCTGATCAAAGATTGACACTTCCTTTCCACTCAGCTGCATTTCTCTCTCCCTGACAGCAAGAGGGGTCCTTCTGTCTTTAACTATCTTTGCTATATACAACTTCAGCCCTTGGCTTTTTGACTTTCCTCCAGCACTCTCTGTTTTCTCATTTCTTATTTCTCTCTCTTAATTTATTGTTTATCTACAATATAAGTTATTCATTCAACATGATGCATCATATTTATAAATAGGTTCTTAATTTGAAAGTACCTGAGTGGAAGATTTTGCATTTTTGTCATTTTTTTAAGATTTATTTTACTTATTTAGAAGGCTGAGTGACAGACAGACAGAGAGAGACAGAGAAACGCATCTGCTGGTTTACTCCCTAAATAGTCACAGATTTTAGCCAGAGAACACAGCTCCATCCAGGTCTCCCATGTGGGTGACCGTGGTCCTACTGCTTGGGCCATCTTCTGCTACTTTCCTAGGTGTATTCACAGGGAGCTGGATTGGAAGTGAAGCAGCCGGGGATTGAACCAGCGCTTGAATGCCAGCATTGCAGGCAACAGCTTAACCCACTTTGCCACAACCCAGCCCCTGAATTTTCTTCTTCAATGAGACCCATTAAATGGCTTCAGATGGGATGCTGGTGCAGATGAGAGAGGAAGTGGGCACTCCTCTAGCAAGACAGGCTGGCTGAACTTACCATGGGACTCTACAGCTTTGTGCTATGAAGGGCTCCTGATTGTCCTTACTGAATGAGTCAGTGGACATCAATAATAAATAGAAAACTCTCCATACGAGCCAGTATCCAGTTGAAGCATTTCACGGGATGACCTCCCTCAATTATGAGTCTTAGGAAATAAATTTTCAAGACTTACAAAAATATATATCCTTCCAAATTTGGAAGTGTTTGTTAGGACTAGCAATCTTTTTGATTAGTATCATTTAGAAAAAAATAGCACAAACGCTTAGAAAACTCAATGTGTATTTGGCTAAAATCATGGGACTTTTTTAAAAAGGCAGATAAAAATGTGTTTTTCTTTAAAAACCTCATTAGGTCTTGATTAGTTTACAGGAACATAAGCCTCAAGGTATCAGACTGATTGGTTAAATCTGTGTGTTAGATGCTCTTTCATGAATGGTGTTTGGCAAAGCTGCATTTCATGTAATTCTTTAGGCAGAGAAAACATTTATCAAAAGGCTCTAGCTTATCAATCTTAATTGCTGCAAAGTAACTTGTGCCTCAATACATATTAGCATAATATTAGCAATCACCACCTCAAATCCCTTCAAGATGTGGTCCGTCTTAGATTCTGCACCCCTTGAAGCTTATGGCAAAAGAAATAAAGGGTCTATATTACAGGTTATAAAAAACTAGGATGAAGGAAATGCAATAAAGCACAACAATCGAAACAATATGGATGAAATAGTTGGGTTAAAATACGTTTTATTAAAGTAAATCTACATTTTGGCTTTGCTAAGGCTCAAGTAGATGGTGGGCTTGGCATTTCACTTCTAGTGCTGTGGGTGGTACGGGAGATGTCATATAAAATTTTAGAAATGTTTTTCAAGAGGCTCACAATGCACCATGGAATTCTTCAGGGGTCACAGACTATAGAGCCCTGCGGCTAACCTATTTGCTGGAAAGTTTAAGTTCTAAACAAAAGCAGTAGGGCAGTCATTCTAGAATAAAACATTTATTAGGCACAGAGAAAGAAGTGCGAGTACATTAGGCTCAAGAGCATACATTTCTTGAATCTGACATGGTCCTGCCACTTCCTGACTGTGATTTTTTTTTTGGAGGGGGGGGCTATTATTTAACTTCCCCAAGGCTCATTTATGAAGCAAACATCAGACGGGGAGAGTCACGGTTCCTGGGAGGGATTCGGTGAGATGCTGAGTGCCGATAACTAACTCACTCTTGGGACCTGGACATCCGATAATCAAATATGTTCATAGTATAGAATTGCTCAGCTGAAAGGAATCTTTTAGCTACAAAAGATAATCTTGATCTTGGACAGTAGGCTTATATCTAGAAATACTACCATCAATTAAGGAATACACTTAACCAAAGAAACAAACTCCCCAACTTTCAGCAAGTTTACGCGTGCACAGCCAAGCTGCCAGCCCTCTCTACAATTACTAAGAAGCTAGACAAGCAAGGCAAACAGCTCTGAGAAATAGGCACTGGATTTACATCAGGCTACACGACTACACATTTTTGTGAAGAACAATGATCATTCCTTAGAGGTGAGATAAAATCTTCAGGATTTCAATCAAACCCAGAAGAAACGGGCAGTGTGGGTTGGTACTATACAGTAACGGCCACCTGCGTCAAGCCAGCCACTGGTCAGGTATCACAAGCATCAGACAGATTGCCAAAAACCGTGCCAATTAAAGTTGCAAAATCCCAGGCTTCAGAACACTCGTAAGTGTGTTTGCTGGAAGTTGATCCATTTTCACGTAACACAGTGCGGTACTCAAATATTTCCCTTCCTCCTATCCAGAGCGTATAAACCAGCACACTTTATGAGCTAACGGTCCACACAGCGTGGTAATTCACAGAGACCAAGGGAGAAGTGATGTAACACGTTTTCCCATCAAAGATCTCCTCACTGGGGCAATGCTTAAATAAGCCTCTGGCAAAGCCACCCCAAATTCCAAGGATCATGAAAAACACTCAAAGACATTTTTCTACCAGTTGATAGAATGACCAGCATCCAGCTAGGTGCATTTGAAGCCCACCTTCCCAGTGCCCAGCCCTCCACCACTGACTACGCTCCCCCGGTTAAGGTTTAATTCCCAGATGTGCAGTTTACTAAGACTCCGACCTACCATCGCTGCTTCCCCTGAGCACTACATCTGGCGAAGGTGTCTGCCTGGAACGGGAGCCGAAGGAATCGAGGCTGTCGAAGGAGTCATCGCGACCGTGCCGAGGAGGAGAGAGGGAGTCGCTGCGCTCCGAATCCCAGCAGTCGATGTAACCACTGTCTCGGATGCTGCGCTTAGGACTCTCAATGTCATCAGTCTCCTGTCGAGAAATAAAATGAACTGATTACAGACACGATTGCAATAGACGGAGAGCGCCTACGGTATCAGGAAAATCAGCCTCCAGTAGTCTGCAAAAAAATCCAGTCGCATCGCGTCACTCTGGAGAGCTTCTGGCAACCAGCTATGGGATGGGTCACTGTCTCCAGGTCACCACTCAATTCCCCGACCCTTCTCTGTTGCACTTTCCCAGCCGGAACACCATGCACATTTCCCAAAAGACCCCCAGTGCCTCATACCCCATACTGTTACAGCCAAACAAACAAAAAAAGCGAAGGAATTAAGAATAAAGGACCACAAAGTTCAGATTCCAGGAATACAATGACAGACGAAAACAAGAAGGACAAACAAAACCCTTCACCTTGCCCTGTCTCTCGGAATCCATGGCTGCATGTCTGGCCTGGGAACGCGCCGTGCGACTGCTCCTGTTGCCGCTGTCTGGCAAATGCAGGCAGCATTGGGTTCTGCAGCGCTATCGGTCCTGCAAAACCCTAGAGCTGCACGCTTCCATGTCCTGCTACCTTGGAGGGAAATTCCAGCTCTGAAAGGGAGCTGTCTTTCTGAGGCAAAAAGTTAAAAAAAAAAACGGGGTGGGGGCAGTGAAAAATATGCAAACAGCTTTTCCTGATGCCTCAGAAGAATCCAGGCATGCTCTTGCTCTCGGCCAGCACTTGGCGCTGGGGGAGCTGCGAGCACTTGTAGCTGACCCACATGTTCAGAGCAGGGAGAACAATGGCTGTCTTTGACAGCCTGTGATTATAAATTCTTTCCAGCACAAGCAGCACATACTAAAACACTGAAACTCCAGCAGAAGAAAGGTCAGTCAAAGCCGTCCTCACCCTCGTATTATAATAAAAGCCTTGTTCCCACCAGTGCCTTAGCATTCATTACAATAGTCCGGGCTGGCGAAAACAAAAATAACTCTGGTCACTCAAAGATAAACCTCACTTTAATATCCCCCAGACTGTCGCTTAAAAGGAAGACTGCAGATGACTCTGCAAAGACTGGCAGGTCACTCGGTAGATTTTCCAGAATGCTCCCAAAGGTCCCTGCACCCTTCCCAACAGAAAGGAAAAATAAAGAAGCGTTCTCCCTGTTAGCAATTCTGGAAACTGCTCAAGAGCGTCTAAGATGCTCACGGGAGCCCACGGCTTTGCTCGCTGCTTCTGTCAATGACAGCCAACTCCTCTGACCCTGCTCCCCAGAGGGAGGGACAGGGGTTCCGTCAGTCACAAGGCACATGCAAGTTTTGCATCAAGAGAGGGGAGTAGGTGAGAGGGCAAGGGCAGGGCAGAGGGGAGCCCCCTGCAGGCTCTGCACCGAGGTGCTACCAATGCCCCGGGGCGGGGTGGGGGGGAAGCAAGAAGTAGTCCTTAAGCCGCAGGGGTGTGTCCAGCAGAGCTGACCCTCCCGAGGAAGGCAGGCATTGAAGCTTTGGAACTCTAGGTGGTGTGCTTGCAGGTCAAGTGTTAATCAGGAGTTGAACAGAAGTCAGGCGTGACGGCTGGGAAAGGAAGAGCTGAGGATTCATCGCGAAGTCTAAACCTGCACTGGTGCTGCTGGGACACCCACACGTGCTAACACACAGAGAGCCTTCAGAAAAGTGCCAGATGCAGACTAAGCACCGGGGTTGTCATTACTGCTATCTATTCCCTCAGGTATGTGAATTTCGACATAAAATCACATGCCAGTTATAAACAGAGCTATGGGTGTGGGGAGCAAACCGGACTAGACTGAGTTACTGGAATTAAGACTTATTCTATGCATCTGCTCTCCCACAATATGGCGCTGGGAGAGAAGTAAACAGCTTCCGCACAGCTGCCTCCAGTTCAACCAATAAACTGTAGGACTTGCTCCTGATTGGAGAGCAGCGTACTCGGCGTGTGGGCAGCTGAGTTGGGATTGGCAGAGGAGGACTATAAAGGAGGAGAGAGACGGCATGCACCAGGAACATCTAAGAAGGAACATCTAAGGGGAACACCTGTGCAGCCCCCGAGAGAGCCGGCTGGCGGTGTGCCGCTCCCCTGCGGAAGTGGGGAGAGTGGCCCGGGGGAACCGCCCTTCCACGGAGGTGGAAGGGATAGTAGCCAACCCGGGAAGAACCAGCAGCAAACCCGGGGAGGGCCGAGCAGACGATAGAACAGCGCAGGGTCCTGTGTCGTTCCTCCACGAAGAGGGGGAGCGACATATGGGCACTCACACACTCTTTCTCCACTATAAGCCCTATCTGGATCTACTTCCCCATCAGCGAGGGCTGATATTCAGGGAGCTGGGCCACGGGTCACCTCTGGATGTGACACCCCTACAAGCTGTGTGTGCAACACTACCAAGTGGGATTTTCAAGAAAACATTACCAGAAAGGCCCCCTGAAGGCTCAGATGTCTCCCCCCCCTCATTACCCTACAGACCACAGGAGACGAGAAAGGAGGAAAGAGAAAGTCGGCATGCTTCCTAGAGCTTCAGCTGCTGTCTCAGAGTTATTACGGGAAAAATAAACAAAACAGCCATTATGTTCATGACTGGGTGGAAAGAGTATGGTAAAACCCTGCACCAAGTGGGCAGCTGCATGGCACGGCCAGTTTGAAAAGTGAAAACCAGGCCTTGTGGCTATCCTTGGCCAAGCCAGTCCCCTGCCAGGAACCTGAGGGTGAAGGCAGAGGTTGCCACTTTTGCTAGAACTAAAGATGTGGACATTAGTTAGCTGGACAATTTTATCAGCTTCTAACAAGCCATCACAGTTGATCTTTTTTTTTTTTTTTTTTTTTTGTTGCTCACCTAAAATTGAGCTTTTGAGGGAGGGTAGAAGATCCTAGTATGAACCAACACAAAGGCTAGCACAGCCCCATTCTGCTTTCATGGATCTAATTACATCGTCTGTGCATCTGTGCTTCTCACTGAGCAGTCCCATAGCTTTGTGTCTTCAACACAGAGCACTCCCCTGGAGATAAGAGTCAAATCAGTTCCCTGTGCTAATTGCTTGCTGTTCTTGTAAAAGTGTGTTAATGAACTACTAGCTTCTGAGAGATGTTTGACTTACCTCACTCATCTGTCCACTTCTTATCCTGCTTTGTCATAGAAAATGAGAACCAGCTAGGATTGGCGTATGACTTATGGCCTCTGAAAAGCCCAGATGCCTGTTTTACTACTCAACATTTTCTGCTTCCTCTGTGATTTATAAGGCAGCTAGCTCCTTTCCTGGAGTGGCTCAGGGTTCAACTTTTCCAGCATAATCACTTATACTCCACCCACCACCCTCTGCTTGCGTAAGCAACTCATCCTACAAACATTTATTGGGCATCTTTTATGTGTCAGGCACTGTTCTAGTCTTGAGGACAAAACATTATGTCAAAATCAACAAATGTTCTGTCCCCATGAGCCTTATGTTCTATTAAGAATGGCAGAGGCTGGCACCGCGACTCAATAGGCTAATCCTCCGCCTTGTGGCGCCGGAACACCGGGTTGTAGTCCTGGTTGGGGCACCAGATTCTGTCCCAGTTGCCCCTCTTCCAGGCCAGCTCTCTGCTGTGGCCCGGGAGTGCAGTGGAGGATGGCCCAGGTGCTTGGGCCCTGCACTCCACGGGAGACCAGGAGAAGCACCTGGCTCCTGGCTTCGGATCAGCACCGTGCGCCGGCCGCAGCATGCCATCCGCAGCACGCCAGCCGCAGCGGCCACTGGAGGGTGAACCAACGGCAAAGGAAGACCTTTCTCTCTGTCTCTCTCTCTCTCCCTGTCCACTCTTCCTGTAAAAAAAAAAAAAAAAAAAAAAGGAAAGGCAGAAACAAACAGAAGAACATACAAGTGAATGTGAGGTCAGGTGATGAGTGTCATGGAAAAAATAAGGCAGTTGATGGACTTTCCAGTTGAGGCAGGGGTCTTGCATTTGGTTGCCCATCATGCTTCCTTCTCTTTATCCCTTTCTTCTAGTGATGCCCTACATTTCCTGAAAAGGGAGAGAGTTATGCCAATCATGGTAGCCCTCTGATCATAGGCACTAGTTCAGGAGTAGGACTCACATGGACCAGAGTACACTCTTAGGAATTGTATACTAAGGCTGAGAGGAAACATTCCACAGCCTTTTGGGCCAAGGAGCTAGAAGCAAGTGATCCTAGGGGTACTGTTGGCTGTGTTCCCTGTTATAAGGGAATGTTGACCCATGGGAGGAAAGAATGAATTCAAGGAGAGATCAAGGGCTGGCACTTTGGCACAGTGGGTTAAAGCTGCCACCTGCAGCACCGGTATCCAATATGGGCACTGCTTAGAGTCCCAGCTTCTCCACTTCTGATCCAATCCCTGTTAATGCTCCCGGGAAAGCAACAGAATATGGTCCAAGTCCTTGGGATCCTGCCATCCATGTTGGAGACCTGGAAGAAGCTCCTGGCTTCAGCCTGGCCCAGTCCTGGTCACTAGGGCCATTTGGGGGAATGAACCAGAGAGATCTCTCTTTCTCTGTCTCTCCTTTCTCTCTGTAACTCTTTCAAATAAATAATTTTTTTTTAAAAGGAGATAGAAGAGATGAGAGCAAGATGTAGGAAGGAAGAACCTGAAGAGTTGGCTTTCTAGTTTCAGTCCATGAGTTCTCTGGAGCCAACCCAATCCCCATGGTTTTCACTTCAATCTCAGAACTCTTGCAGTAACTCCCCTTTGTTTAGTTTAAGTGACTCTTCTTTGGGAGGCTTGCCCTGACATACCCAGGCTCAGTGAAAGGCCATTGTCCCTGTGCTTACAGAGATCCTTGGCATATACAGCAACAGCAGCAATCTATGTATACCTACTGCATGCCAAACGCTATGCTCTGCACGCATTATCTCTATTATTGAACTTGACAAGCTACACTACAGCTAATAAATTTTATTTACATTTTTCCCACTAGAAAAAGGAATGTAAAAAAAAATCTGGCTAATCTCCTTGGCGAAGGGAAAAGTTTCATTTCAAATTTATCTCATCCTGTATATGTGCAGAAGATTCCAGTTGTCCCTCCAAATCTGTTTTACACTTCTGCCTAGTGAAAATACTCACAGACTTTGTTGAATTAAAGTCTACTTTGTCCAGTCTTTCCTTGTAGCTTGGTATGGATATGTGACCCAGTTCAAGTCAATAAGATACAAGCAGGGGTTGTTTTAGTCTGTTTTCTGTTGCTATTAACAGAAAACCACAGACTGGGTCATTTATATGGAAATTTATTTCACAGAGTTCTGGAGGCTGGCAAGTCCAAGATCAAGGTGCAGCATCTGGTGAGGGCCCTTTTGCTGCATCATCGCATGGTGAGAGAGCTCACTTGAAAGCAAAGCTCCTCCTCCCATAACTAGCACCTCTTCAAGGTGCCACTTCCCACAATATTTGCATTGGTTGCTATGACAATTAAGTTACAGCAGGAATTTTGGAGGAGACATTCAAACCACAGCAGTATAGAGTATAATTTCCCAGAAGTGTGTTTAAAGGGAGGGCATAGGCCCCTCTCCCCTGTTCTTCCTTTTTCCTGGCTTGAATGTGGACATGACTGTGAAAACCTAAACCTCCATCTTGGGCCAGCAAGTGAGAAGACAGAGTTTGACGTTGGTGGTGCAAAAAGACAAAATGAGTCCAGACCTTCTTGATGGTCATGGAATTCTCACACCAGTCCTGCACTGCTCACATCCAGAACTCATTTATTTGAGTTAGAAATAAAGTCTACTGGATTTTAGCTATTTTGAATTTTTCATGCTTCCCAGCTGAATGCGATCCTACCTAATCAAATGAGATAACATACATTATAGATAAAGCCAATATTTCCAGAAACTTAACCAGTAAAGTTCATTGACTCTTCTTTGTATATGAAGTCCCATACCTGGGCCTGAGTTCAGAGTCATGCTTTGTCCAGTGACACTAATTACTCCATCATGCCCTGCAATGGCATCCTCATTTATATAAAAGGGTAACAGCTATGAGTAAGTGGTCCTTTCCAGGCAGTTGGAGTAACAAGCTCTCAGTAGAAAGGGAGGCTAGGAAAGATGGAGAGGCCAATTGCTGCACAGGTTACAGAGGAGGTAAGAATTGCCACTAATGAGAATAAACCTGATGGCAACAGAAAGCAGCAGGCAATGGTAAGCCAGAACTCCTAACGTGTTTAACAAAGACGATCCATCCATGATGATTCAAGTCCACATTTAGTATAAAAACAATAAAGCTTTAGACTTCCCAAATCCAGACTGGAACTTATTTCTGTCATTTCTCTAGGGCTAGATCTGATGAAAAATTAAAGGACAAATAAGAACTAAGACTAAGAATTGTGTGGATGAATTGGTTTTATTTTGAGAGGAACTGGCTTGAAGGACTTCCTTTATACACGTAACAACAAATATAAGAACTGTGTCCATTTATAAATTAGTGAGCCAGACTGGCTCTGGCCAAGTAGAACTATTAGCGTTAATTTAAGGAAAGGAGGATAAATCATCAGAAAGTTGGAGTAAAAGCGCAATTTCAGTACTAAGAGAAAAATTGTAAAGCACCGAATGACTCTCAATTTGTGTTGATACATTTATTTTTCACATAAGAGACATGAGGACAAGAAGGGTCTCAATTACTTGTGTTCTAATACGGGCCTTATCCAAGATACATGGATGCTGATTGCAAGCAAGCCTTACCTGTCCATCACGGCTGGTTGGGAGGGTTTCTCTGGAGGAAAACTTCACACTAGCACTTTATACCACTTACCTAGATTGCTGAACCTCCAAATCGAACACCCAGGCGGAAATACACAACATATGCCACTATTTCCTGGACAAACTTCTACCTTGGGTCACTCTTCCCCACAGTCCAATAAATCAAGCTTTTAATAATGTACATAATATTTTCCCAATTTCCAGATCACTCAGATGTGATGGCCATAGAAGGCACATTTTGTAAAAGAATGCTTCTAATTAATCAGAACTTATACCGGGTGGGTGCGGAGGGAAGAACTTGGCTGGCATTACCTCACCCACTCCAAGGCCAGGATGGGTAAGCAAAATGACCTTTAGGACAAAAGTGCAGAGCAAGTCTTCATTTTTGTACAATACCGCATTGTTTAATTTGAGCATTATTTCCCCAAGAAAGCAAGCACTGAGCTACTTGGCATCCACAGCTATGTCCCGACAGACTGAATTTGCTCTTTTGGAATTCAAGTTTGATGGTGCTCAGAGCTCCCATTCTCCAAAGAATATAAAAGTTCAGGAGGGGCTGGTGCTGTGGCACAATGGGTTAAAGCCCTGGCTTGCAGTGCCAGCATCCCATATGGTGTTGGTTCAAATCTCAGTTGCACCACTTCTGATCCAGCTCCTTGCCAATGCACCTGGGAAAGCAGCAGAAGATGCCCCAAGTGCTTGGGCCCCTGCACCCATGTGGGAGACCTGAAAGAAGCTCCCGGCTCCTGGCTTCAGATTGGCCCAGCTCCAGCTGCTGCAGCCATTTGGGGAGTGAACCAGCAGATGGAAGACATCTCTCTCTCTCACTCTGTCTCTACCTCTCTCTGTTAACTGTTTCAAATAAATAAAATAAATCTTAAAAAAAAAAGTTCAGGAGGTGTGAGCTGTATGAGCCAAAGGTGTCCTTGGTTAGAACAGCAGTCATTTCCTTGAGTGTGTGACATCTTTGGCCTGTACAATTCCACCATGCCGAACTGAACAAGGCGATGTGTTCCTTCCCCACCTTGTCGAAACCTTGTGGCATCAAGAAGAAAAGCCAAGTTACCTTTCTCATCTGAGCCCACAAGCCTTCAAACTCCTTCAGGTTCAGAGTCGTTCCGCTGTAGGATGCATAGCTATTTGCAGCCTTTCCCAGCCAATAAATGGTCACTAGTACCTGTGGAACAGAACAGTGCACAGGGTCGGAATGGCGTTTAAAATGAAGGACCCAGGAATGCTGCAAGAGGAAAGCAGGAAGGAGAGAAGGTGCCACTGACTGACAGAGCCACCCTCCGGGACCTAGCCATTAACGGTTAATCATCGAGTAAGAACCACTGCTGACTCAGCACAAACATGACTCCGCTGTGAAAATCACACTGTGGTTTTCACAGAAGTTAGGTTGTGGGGAAGTGGATCTCCACGAGCAAGAAGGAAAAATAAGTCCTCCAAAGTGACGTTCATGTAGGGAAGTTTTCACAAGTAGGCAGGGGCATTTTTCATGAACTCATTGGAGATTTTACTCAGACAAGCAATGAAAGAGGTGGTCAATTCCTTTTGAGAGAGGTGCTTTTGAAGGCCCAAGATTTCTGCTTATGGGCACAGACATTCTGCTAAGACCAAAGGAGTAACAAAGGTGTATTAGTGGTTCCCAGCAGATGCTCAACATCATTTAACTAATGAAGGTCAGAAGAAAGCAATGCAGTGAAGGATATCAGCCAGACACCCTGCTTTGGGGTTGAGATGCTCATGAATCTAAAATGGGAAGTTGTTCGTTTTGACAAGGTTGCTGCCTTGGATGTTCAGGAATGTCTGTGAGCAGTCAGTGGTCAGAGGCGAGGCTCCTCCATGAATCTGTTCACTTTCCAGAGAGACTGTCCACAAAAGCAGGTGCTTTTCTGCATTGACTTTCCCATAAAACCCAACAGGAGTTGGCTGAGGATGAGCTCCTTAAAAATGAATTATTGGGATCTGAGGCCCATATAAAAGCTCAGACTATTATTTTATGTTCAGATTCTGTCTCATTGCTTGCAGCAGGCTGGGACATAATTATTGTCCCTCCTTCTACTCGGTAGACCAGAAACTGCTTTGGACAACGTGATCTAGGTGCACGGTTCCAGCTGGCAACAGGCCCAAAATATGGTTTTGTGCATCACTGCTAGGATGTGATTCTTTTCCCACCTCGGTGGGAAAATTCTACTTCATGAATACTTCAAAACTTCCAGAAAGACTTTTTAAACTGATTGCTTACAAATAGATTTCCAGAGAACACACGATTCCACACATAGGATATTAACTAGGACTATAAAACAACAAATATGTGCTAAGAGTATGAGGCTGTATTGAAAGAATGGAAGATGAGCTGTGCTGGATTTTAGATTATGGGTTTTCTGCTTGGCTTACAACTGTATGATGAAAAATGGTGTATACTTCTAGTCTGATAGAGGAAGAGAAGATAAGAATCAATCAAACATACTAGAACCTGGGAAAGTTTTTAAGAAGATTACAGACAATTTTTCCATTTTCGAGAAGTAGGGAGATTTCTGATGCCATAAACAAGAGTGTCAAATTGTTAAGTCAACAACAGGAGTCATTGTGTACTTACTCCTCACGTGGGATCTCTGTCCTTAATGTGTTGTCCAGTGTGAATTAATGCTATAACTAGTACTCAAACAGTATTTTACACTTCATGTTCTGTGTGGTGCAAATTGATGAAATCTTTACTTAATATATGCTAAATTGATCTTCTGTATATAAAGATAATTGAAAATGAATCTTGATGTGAATGGAATGGGAGAGGGAGGGGGAGATGGGAGGGGTGCAGGTAGGAGGGAAGTTGCGGGGGGAGCCATTGTAATCCATAAACTGTACTTTGGAAAATTATATTTACTAAATAAAAGTGTTTATAATAAAAAAAGAAAATACTAATAAAAACTCAAAAGATAAATAGGAAAACAGTACAGGCCCAAGGCAGTCAACACTAACATTATGTGGATCTTTCCCTAGAACAACTTGCCCAACTGCCCCATTTAATAATCTCATCTGTGCCTACAAATGCGAAGGGGCTAAGGTTCGTGTTGGGACTGAACATCTGTGCTTAAGAAGCTGAAGCCCAAATGGAGCACACATTTTTATTTATTTCTGGTCCAGCACTTATCTAATTAAAGAGAAACTCCCCAAATCTAGGATTTTCATTTTTATCATAGTCATTAATGATCCTATCAGAGACAAATTCCTTTTGTTCTCAGAAGGACTCTGTCCAGCAATGCCTATGAGAGGCAATGAACTTAGCTCAGTTTTACACTTGAATCATCAAAGTCAGAGGGAAGTTTGGGAAGCAAAGTTCAAACACTTACATTTCTCAGCTTCCGACTATAATCGAGGCTCCTAAATAAGGAAAAGGAAGAGAAAATATGATCAGCATAGTTTCTTCACTGTGGTCTTTCCTTCCTCTAAGGCATCCTTGCAAACAAAATCAACAAACACAACAAAATCGGAAGAATATATTCATGGATTAAGGCCTAAGACCGGTGATTTCAGAATACAATTACTTAGAATTACTTAGAAAATATAACAGAAAAAAATGAATGTCATTATGCTATTAGATATCTTCTATGACTTTAAAGAATGATGAAAAGATGAGAGCAAAAAAAATCTATAAAAGATCTAAAATTTTTATAGGAAACAATTTCAGGAGACGGAACATGAAAATAAAGGCTCATTGACTAAAATTGTGTTTCAGAGATAAAATCATGCTTTGTCCATAGTAGGAGCTCACAAAATATTTGTGAATGACTTTCACATAACAACCAATTATGTGAAAATACTTCCAAGTTTTTACAGAGACACACTCGGGAGCTGCCCGAGTCCTTCTGGCCTTTTCGGCCCATTGCTGCGACTCCCTGGAACGGTCCTCGCTGTGCGCTCCTGTGGGTTGTGCTTTCTGTTCCCGTCAAGGTTGTCTGGCTTCCATTACAGGTACAGTTCCGTAAATTACACATGCAGTAATCATTTGCAGGTTTCCCTTCTCTTTTTCTTATGGTTGACTCAAGTTACTTCTCCAAAAAATGTAAGAAAAATTACCCACCATGAAAGCTAAAATAAAGAGTATTTTTTTTAAAAGACAATTTCAGAAAAGCATCCAGATTTCCTCTGTGGGATCCACTCCTGTACCTTACTGCTTACACTATTAACTGAAATCAACAGGCTGCTTCGCACCTCTGCTGATCTCTGCTTAGCCCTCACAGGGAGCAAACACAGCAATGCAGTAGTTCCATTTTTCTCGGCTATAAAATCTATACATGCTAAACATGGCTCCTCTCCACTGCCAAATGAAACCAGCAGCAACTTACAAAAAACCTGCGAAGCAAGGAGCTTACTCATGCTCCACGCCTCAATAAAACTAGAAATAACAACTTTCCAAGTACCAAATAACGGTCCTCTACAATGATTCCACATTGAGCATCCTACCATGCTTGAGGACCGCCTCTGACCACACTTACTCTTTCTCAATGCCCTGGAGGAATGAGCAATGGCTTTGTTGCTTTTCCTTTTCCACATCAAGCTTGTTTCTCCTCCCCAGCCTAGTGTCTGTTCTTTCTATGCCCTTAACAGCCTACAGATCTTCCCGTGGCTTCCTCATGTCTCAGAAAGGCCGCCATTCAGAGAGGCCGCCCTTGGCCACCTGTGCCCAGGTCATTCTATTTGATCGTCTTCTCAGCGTTTATCTCTCTGTGAGCTTACTTGCCTCTCACTCTTTGACACTGAAGTATGAACAGCATGTGATGGGGGGGGCACCTTGATACCCTGTTCACTTCATTTCTTTAGAGATAGAAAGTATCTCACACAGGAGAAGGTGAAGAAATAGTATTGTCTAAAGAAAATAATAGTTATCATGTAAAAGAAAAATTAAAAAGGAAAGAAAATGAGAAGAAATGCCAGAGGCTATAGAGGTGGGAAGACAGAATAGAGAAGAGGAGAGAGCAAAGTAGGAAAGGTCAAAAGAACAGGAAAAGAGGAAGATGGCCCGGCAGCTGAGGAGCGCCGTGGCCTGCGTCCTGCCTTCTCCCGCTCCGGGAGCTTTCCACGTCTTTGAATCACAGTGTCCTTTAGAAAACGGCTGTCGCATCTTTTCAGATCTGAATGGAGCAAGCGTCACTAGCATCACGCCTGAGAAAACGTCCCATGTTTCGTGACGACACAGAGGTCTGCTGTAGGAAGGGAACTCGCCGGCACTGCAGATAGGAGGAGCAGGAGACCTGGGCCTGGACGCCTCATTTCCTGATGCCCACTTTTTTAGAAAAGCAAGAAAGCTGATAAGATTTCAGATTTTCTAATACCAGAGTCATCCTGGATGGACAATGACTCTAAAAAGTGAATGCAGCTGCTGACATTTCACAGTGAACTTTCCCCTCACCCCCCAGGGTGTGTGTGTGTGTGTGTATGTGTGTGACTAATTATCACCTCCCGTGTTGTACAGTAACTATTGTTTCTGGTCACTTGCCACTCAGGTGAGGCCTCAAGGAGGCAGAACTGAAAACAATTTCCTAAAGGGAACACAGATTTATAGAGGCTGGATTTAGATACAGTAATAAATGGAACAGATGATGACTGAGGTGAGCCTTATGGCAGTTGCCATATCTAAATATCCTAATTTTTATTGTTTTTTTTTATTTATTTTTCCCATGAGAAATATTAAATAGCACCACATTGACAAGAGAGAAGTGATTTTAGATAACCAATCACAGCAAACTCTTTTATAAGTCATAAAATCCAACATAAACCCCAAATTTATTTAATTCAGTAGTTTTCATTTTCCTTCATTATATTTTTTTCTAAATCAAGATCAGCAAATAGTATAAAATTAATGGCTCTAAATTTTGGCTTGTCTCCCTCTTCAATTCTTCCATCAATAAAATGACCCCAAAAGAAATCAAATGCAGAAAAGTTGCCAATCCACAGACCCAATCTACTCAATTAAGCTTGTTACTAAGTGATAGTCATGCCAAATATTAATTAAGTAAAGTGGAAAGTGTTTTATAGAAAATCAGTAGGGCCTAAGGAACTTCTAACCATAGGAAAGTTCTCTCCACCATCTCATAAGGACATTTCTTCTCATTACCCTGGACATGAGCTAATTCTTCACACAGGAGTGCTTTGCCTGTTCTTTTACTGTGACATTTGGCTCCAAGAATTCTCTGGCCTCAGACATGGCTTGTTGAGTAGATACAGTCAACAATGGCCACAGAGCCAACGATCTGGCCTCAAAGAACTTGATCACTGACACAGGAGAAAACAGTTACCAATGTAAATGAAGAGGCAATTTCCCTGTCCTCTCTTGCCTGCCCTGCAGAATAAACCAGAGTCCAGACCTGTTTACCTAGTTTGTGGTCTTCCAAGAGCCTATTCAAATGCCCAGTAGGAGCCAATAAAAGGGTTTTGTCTCACACACAGAGATTCTGTGCATATTCTTTCTTGCCTCTCTGTTAAGCTTTACTTGACCCTTTTCCCTTCTCTTCAGCATTGTAACTCCATATGCATCATTTTTGCATTTGAAGAAATCATGTTTGATGAGAATGAAAGCTTTGCCCGGAGGGAAGGCCAACGTGTCTTATTTTGAAAGCTTGATTTTTCACCTGCACATTTTTATTTTATTACACACACCCAGTTCTCTACCTCTTGGAACTTACAACATCATTCACACAACTGCAAATCACACCATGAAGGAGTTTCCCTTAAACATAAATTGTATGTTACTTACTTGACCGTTACTCTGTTGGACGTATCCTGGAGGTCACTCGGGTCAAACAGTTGAGATTCTTTGAGGCCGAGCTCTTTACAACCTCTCAAGAATAAGATAATATTGTCCTGCAAGGAAGAAAAGAAATCCAAGTTAGATTATTTTATGCACTGGCCCCTCCCCTTCGATTGTTCAAAGGGCAGCAGGGCTCCCAGGCATTAAGGAAGCTAGGGGTCAGGTCGAAATCTCCGCTTGTTGCATAACAAAATTATGCTTTGTTAGGAAATGCCTGAGTTAGCAGACACCTCAAACTTCCAAATCCACCGTCTTGCCAAATTCACACATTTGTATAAAAGTGCAAGTAAGATACCATTGAAAAGGAGAACTTAGCATCTTTCAGGGGAATAATACTTTTTAAAAAATCCAGGTATTCACTATTGCTTCAATTTATTACCTAGAATCTCATTCAAACTGATATTCAAGAAACAGATTTTGATACCCAGGGGTTTTTCTCAACTTTAGCAAGTTTTTCTTGTTAACAGATCTTCTAAAATAAATCTTCTGTATACCTTTTAGACATCCTTTATGGGTGTTGACTGAAAATATCTTTGTAGACTACAAATTGAATTAGATTAAAAAAATCTACTTATTAGAAATCATAATATGAGGGTCACATGTGGATGTTTATGTGATGCATTTACTTATAAATGGTCAGAAAAGTGAGGGAAAAAGGAAAACAAGTCATGTAATTTATGATTAGCACATTTACAAGCACATATTGATACTAAAATTGCTACAATAAAGTATTACTGGAAACTGGAAAAAATATTTGGCTAATGAGAATCAAAGCTCAGGAGTGAATGGTTTTTAAAAAGGTTTATCTTTTAATTTTTATTCACCATTTTAAAAAAGATGTATTTATTTTAAAGACAGAGCGAGTGGTTGGGGGCAGAGATCTTGCACCCACTGGTTTACTCTTCAAATGGCTGCAGAACACTGAATTCTAAGTCATCTACTTTGGTCACAGGAACCCAAGTACTTGGACCAAAACCTTCTGCCTTTCCATATGCGTTAGCTGATCACAAGCAGAGCAGCCAGGGCTCAAACTGGCGCTCTGATACGGGATGCCAGCTTAGCCCGCCGCATCACAACACTATTTACTATTTATGCAATGTATTCACGATTACTATATGATTATTCATTATTTACTATTATTATTATTATACTATTTATTCACTATTCTTAAGAAAGAGGATAAAGATCAGAGAAGGCTTCTGCTACCACAGAGTATTTATAACACAAAATAAACATCTGTAGCTTCTACTCAAGGAGTGTTGGCCAAGCGCTGGGATTCTCTCTTTTAGCTACAAAACAGCCATATGCAGCAGCTGCTCTTACTATGTCCATTTTTCAGACAACGGTGGAGGCACAGAGAGGCCTTGTGCCATCCCAGTCAGCCAGCTGCTAAGCCTGCCTCCCCGTGAACACAACAGATAGAAGCGAGGCTTCTCCAGAGTGAACGCCCAAGTCCACAGAGAGGCAGTTGCCTTTCCCACTGCCCCGTGTTTCCGGGAGCTTTACTCTTACCCTGCCTTCTTGAAATTCTCACTGCAACTTTTGTTGTTGTTGCCTTTTCCCTTTCTCTGATGGCTTTTTTCCTTCCTGCCTCCCTCCCACAACCACACACCCACGCACACACACCTTCTCTGATCACCGGGTCCTGAGACCCTCAAGGCACTACAGGCGCCAGCCCTTGAACAATTCTGAAGACACCACATTCAGAACAGGGTGCCCTCCTCACACAATTCCACATTTCAGGAAAAGCCAACAAACCCCTTAAATCTTGAATAAAGTGGCCCCAAATCAAAGGCAGTACCGTACAGACTTCAGGGGAGCCTTTACAAGGGCTTTCCATATGATCTGTTTTTTTTTTTATTTTTTTTAAGATTTATTTTATTTGAAAGAGTTACACAGAGAGAGGAGAGGGAGAGACGGGGGAGGGGGGGTCTTCCATCTGCTGGTTCACTCCCCAATTGGCCACAATGGCAGGAGTTGTGCTGATCCGAAGCCAGGAGCCAGGAGCTTCTTCCAGGTCTCCCATGTGGGTACAGGGGCCCAAGGACCTGGGCCATCTTCTACTGCTTTCCCAGGTCACAGCAGAGAGCAGGATCAGATGTGGAGCAGCTGGGTCTCAAACCAGGACCCATATGGGATGCTGGCGCATCAGGCCAGGCCACTGCACCACAGCGCCAGCCCCTCCATATGATCTGTTGACTGGCCAGTAAGCTCTGGGTGCTTGCTGCCCAGAGAAAAACAAAGTGAGTGTTGGTGCTCTCTGCGGGGGACCACAATAGACGACAGGTCTGGTGACCACAGACCTGTCATGACTGTGGCACCCCAGAGGCCCTGACTGTGGCTCCCCAGATTCTGAAGAAAAGCAAGGAGGTCATCTGCCCATTTGTAAACCCAGATGCACACTCCCTAACCAGAGTGCCACACTCCATTCAGCAATGGCCCACAAACACATACATAAGCTTTGTGTTGCCAGCCAGCCTGAACAATTTGGGCTGGAAGATTTAAATAACTGCAGGTCTGCTTCCAGCTCCTCGCTGCAACCTAACGATGCTGGATGGGAGCCAGGCCCCAGTGCAGAAGGAGAGCCGCCCCGCCAAGAGCTAATAAGGGCAGCCACCGGAGCAGGCGAGAAGGGCTGTGTGCTCAGTTGCACAAAGCACATCCTGTGCAGTCTCGTCGGCCTTGTTCTTCATCCTGCGATTTTTCCACATTGGCAATTTCAAGCAAAACCCACATCTTAAGAGTTGTAAGTTCAGAAGCCAAACAGTGTAATGTCTTGCTCCCAAGGGAGAGGTAGGAGACGCTGATTTACTTCATCACTATTATATTTAGCTCTTACTAATGCAGAGCCAACAAAGCCATTGAGACTTACCAATCTTTACAAGAAAATTTAAAAGGATTCTTCAAAAAATCAACGTCATGAAAAAACAAAAACTGGAAATTAAACGGGCGTGCTGACCAAACGCAATGTATGGCCTTTGATTGGACCCTAGATTTTCCCCAAAATATGAGGCTGTAAAGTCAAGTTCAAATATAGACCATGCATGGTATTGTTGGATGAATGTGGATTTTATTACATGTGAAGACGATATAGAACAGTAGTTACAGACAGAAAAGCTTTAGCATTAACTGTCTATATGAATTATTTAGGGTTGGGTTATAATGTCTGTTACACGACTTTCAAATGGTTCAGGAAGAAAAGTGTGCGTATATGTGTATGTTCACACATGTGGTGAGGGAGAAACAAAGAGAGGAGGGAGGGAGAGAGAAAAGGAGGTAGGGAGCGAGGGGAGAGAGGGAGAGCAGGAAGGAATTTTGAATATGTCTGTCTTGCTGTGGAGAGAGAAAGCCCGTAAACACAGGGGCTGGCATTGTGGTATAATGGGTGAATCACTGTCTGCAACACCGACATCCTATATGGGCGCTGGTTTGAGTCCCAGCTGCTCCACTTCCAACCAAGCTCTCTGTTAATGGCCTGGGAAAGCAGCAGCAGATGGCCCAAGTGCTTGTGTCCCTGCATGTACATGGGAGACCTGGATGAAACTCCTTGCTGCTGGCTTTGGCCTGGCCCAGCCTGGCCACTGTGGCCATTCGGGGAGTGCACCAGTGGATGGAAGACTTCTCTATCTTTGCTCCTCTCTCTCTGTAACACTGCCTTCTAAATAAAGAAAACAAACATTTTTTAAAAAAGAAAGCAAATACAGCAAAATATTATTAACTGGTGAATCTAAATTGAAGTCAGTAAGCCTTCCTTTAAAGGGCCAGATAATAAGCATTTTCAGCCTTGTGGGCCTCATGGTGGTCTGTGTTAAAATAGTTTCCCACTCTCTTAGCAGATCACGCATAAACAAATGTGTGCATCTGCATTCCAATCTTCTTCACAAAGGCAGGCATTGGGCTGGGTTTGGTCCACAGGCCAGAGCCGGCTGATCCTACTCCAGATGAAAGATATATCAGTTATTTGCTATGCCATTCTTTCAACCTTTCAATGCATTTGAAATTTTTCCCCAAAAAAGTCATGGGAAAGATTCTTCCAGTTATAAGAAATATATTTAAGCAGGTATGGGTGTGACTTGACTGGGCAAATCAGCCCTACACAATTCAAAGGGAAATGGTTGTCTCCTCTGTGACTACAGAGTCAATGTGCAAGCACTGAGGGAGAACAGTTAGCATTTCTGGCTGAGAGGGCCTGAGTCTCAATTCAACACAGAAGCATAACAGAAGCTCCTTACAGAGTCCATTTTGTACCACAGTCGTATTAATAAGCGGATCTATATTACTGTTTATATAAGAGCCACATATTAAATTATTCTTGTGCATGGCCCTGTGGTTTCCCACTTCGTTCATTTGTAGGCCTGCCCTGTGTATGAAACAAGGGCCGGGCTGAGCCCTGAGCTTGCCACCCTTCCAGGTCTCTTACTCTGAAGAAGTCCTTGTGCTCACTCTCTTCGCTTCTCTATCCAAAGGAAAGATGAGGGACAGCCTCTACCCTCAGAGTGTAGCAGAGAGTGGCAGGTGCTCACTAAATATCTGCATAGATTAAATACAGTGTGCGAGGTCCTCTCCTAGCTACTTATAACAATGAACGGAACAAAATTCCTTAGTCCTCATGATCCAGCAAATACCTGCATTTGTTGAAGATGCAGATGAATCATGGCACAGCAAGTTAAGCCACCGTCTGCTATGCCAGCATCCCACAGGTTCATGTCCAAACTGCTCCACTTCCTATCCAATTCCCTGCTAATGTCCTGAGAAAAGCAGAGGAAGATGGCCCAAATGTTTGGGCCCCTGCCACCCACATGGAAGACCTGGAAGAAGTTCCTGGCTCCTGGCTTTGGCCTGGCCCAGCACTGACCATCACAGCCATCTGGAGACTGAACCAGTGGATGGAAGATTTTCTTTCTGTCTCTTTCTGTAACTCTGACTTTGAAGCAATTAAATAAATCTTTTTTTAAAAAAGATGCACATAAACAGAGGTCTGACATCAAATCAGACACTGGAAAGGAGAGGGGAATGAACTTCTCAAGGAACACAGCACAGAAGGGATTCAGTT